GGTGGAAGAGCACAATTCTCGACAACTCCGCCTTTAATTGCGATTTAGATCGCTTCCGACGTCGCGGCAGTCTCATCGCCGTCGCGCGGCGGAATATTCAGCCGCGGGAGTCTCATCGCCGTAAGTTGCCTCTCTCGTCTGTTTCCCAGGCGTATGTTTAATGTGGCAGACGCACCCCACGTATGCTGTCACACACGGTGGTTGTTCAGAGGGCACATCTGCCGCCGAGACTGTGGAATACCTGCGTTTGTTCGTAGCGCTCCTCCGCCTCGGACCGCGCTTCCATCTTGCGACATCGGAATCGTCGTTCTCGATCCGTCGGCAAATATGCTTAGATTGCGCCTTAACGGCGCGAGATGATTGCTTTCCAGTTCCTTAATCGCTACTTTAATATACCGGTTTCGCGTCGCAAAAATGCCTCCCCAGCTCCCCGACGCCGCGCCATCGCGCACAAAGCGCGTTTAGCTGATCAATGGTGCGTGCCGACGGGGAGTCAACAGGCAGGCAAATGCTCGCTCGGAAGTGCGAGTTGAAATGATAACGAAGGAGATCCTTGTTGCGCAAGTTATTCATAAAAGACGTATCGATCTTTGTGACTTCACATGCGCGCATTCACACACTGGGATTTATTCGAGCGAAATTTCCCTTCTTATCCGGTGGAATCTTAACTTCCGGTATCGCTTCTTCTTTCTTCTCCTCTGCCCCTTCTCCTTTCTTCCCCTCTTTGCTTCAATCGCTCGGTCGAAAATTCATTGGATTTTGTCGAACACGTCTCGCTGTGTGCGACGGGAGAATTTGCCCGCTCCGTCGAGTCTCTTGCTAAAGTCTCTGGAATATTATGCGCGGATTAGGGCGTATTCTCCCCGAAATGGGTTAATTCGGCGTCTGTACGCCAAGGGACGAAGAAGGATTAGATTAATCACGTCGCGACGTTAAAGCGCGATTCGACTAGGCGCGCGCGCGCGCTTCTCCGTTTATTCTCTCCGCCGATATTAAGGTGCCATAGCTTGAAAGATGGGTTTGTCTGTGCCGCCGCGGCTGGAGCGCAGCGATACGTCGCGTCACGGCGCGATTAGTAAATAGACCTGTATATATCGTTTGAATTCGCGCGAGAGAGGAGCGAGAGGTGGAAAGTGTCGCGCGCGACACGTATATTGTACGGCGGCCGTGAATACCATTCAATTTACTCGAACGCCGGGTAATCGGGTTTGCGAATCAAGACGAATGAGTTCTCTTCCGGCTCCGTCATTCTGGGGAATCGTCGGGAATGAAGGAGCGTGTCAACCGGATGACCGTGAGATGAGACTCGGTTCGGCTGGTGTTCGGTACTCGTTTCAGCAGTTTCTCGTCGCGGGAGAATGACGCGAATATCGCCGTCGAGACAGGATCGGGCGCATCTCATTTCGCGCGACTGATAAATTAAGCGTAATCAGTGGAACCTTGGAGATTCGACCTTTTACACCCGGAACTAAACTTGCTCGTTTGTAGTTGTGAATTTCTCCGAACTTGTCTTTCGACGGAACCTCCTCCCCCACATTCTGTTGATCGTGTCGGCGGAGGCTCACACTGGACACACGTATCGATAGTGCAAAAAAGTGACGCAATTGATGACGACAGGAAAATGACGATGTTTGATCAGTACCTGAAGTTTATTTGTTGAATGAATCAGACGTAAAAGTTATATCTGGGAGTCGACTCTATTCCCGATTAAACAGAGTTATAATTTGTATTTAATTCTTGTCTATACGGTGCAGAGAGTACGGTTGAGTGTTACTACTCGAAGGAGTGCTTAAGATCCCCTTCTAGGGGCGAGGCGGACGAATTATATTCATTCGTACAGAGTGCCGAGGATCCTCTTTGTAGGTGAGATAGTCGAGTTACGAAAACTCATTTGAATAGAATGCCGAGGACCCCCTTTCTGGGGCGAGGTGGTCAAGTCGTTGAACTTATTCGGACGTTGATGATTTCTTTCGAAATGCGAGGTGGTTAAATTGCACTCTGCACTTAATCGTGCAGAGTATTGAAGAATCAGATACGAAATGGTGGATAACGAATTCCAATTTTCTCGAAAGTACCATACCGGCTTGACAAAGATTTGTTAAATCGAGGCGATCTAGCGAATTCGGAGGTATTCGCAAAGGCAATTTTACCGAGGCAATCTGCGTAAAACCGGAGATAATCGTAAAGGCGACCCAACCGATCGTAATCGATTAGTTCTCTATTCTTTAAATTGTTCACAATTTTAAATATTCATTTATTGATTTGGATCAATTGCATTTCTAGCTCACTCAATGAAAGACGTTGTGAAGGATATTGTGATTGCTTATAAGTAAAAACACGGCGCGTCACAATTAGGAACCAAGTTACTTAGTATTCTTACACATCCAGTTCTGCGTCCGAATGTTCCACTGATCGGAGAATAATGGACGCGAGAATCTCGTACGCGATTCAGCGGCACGTGGTACCCGTTATCAATCATCGTCGTCTCTTGATTTAAATGTGCCGAAACTTGAACGTGCGTTCATTTGCCTTCATTCGCCAGTTCAGCCTTCCGACGTGCGCCGTTTTCGTGCAGCGAGCACAACGAAACTTTCCTCCGTCAAATATTCCGTTCACTGCTGTTCTGCGCGAGCAACAGACACACCTCTGTCTCCTTCGGTCAGGCACGTCGTGCTCGACGAGTATGGAATGACATCCTCTGTCATTCGTCGACCGTAGCCAAGCCGTGGCTAATTTTCAACTTTATGTCACACGCGAATGCTTTATGCGACAGCCGCGTTGCCGGAAATATCGTGAATTTTCTACTTCTCCCGTCGCGTCGTCCTCTTCCGTCCCAACCATCCCGCTTCTGTTTGTTCAAACAATCGCATTTATTTCCCCGCATCGGTATTCCGCAAAGTCTAGCTCCTCCTTCTTCGGTCCTTTTGTGAGAAAGAGAGAGAGAGAGAGAGAGAGAGAGAGAAAGAGAGAGAAGAAGAAGAAGGAAAAGCGCAATGTTTCCGATTACCGTAACAAATAAGGCGAACACGTACGTGAGCGGGATATTGCATGTGCGTGACGACGCTGACCCGACAAATGCAGATTCGATAAGAGAAGAGAGAAGACCGGTGTGTCGAAGCGAGATTGAATGTAGTCGTAACTGCTGGCCTAATGGCCTCTGACAGATATACACCGTGTACCGCGTGTTTTGCGCGCGAAATAGTGCGAGAGAAATATTTAATCACAGGATATCGCTCAGGGAGCGAGAGAGATCGTGGACTAACGACGCGCCGGTATCCGGCCCGTAAATGTATTTATCGTAGCGTATAAAGAAAAAAATTAATGACATAATATGCGGAAGAGATTGTTCATTAATTATCAATTATTACAGCTATATGATGATAATGGCAATTATTGTAATAATAATAATAATTATTATTATTATTCCGAATTAACGTAAACACAATAATGAAGGGAAATGTTTGGCCGAAGCTGCAAATTTGACACGACGCGTTAATTATCGCTACCTGCGCGCGAGCTGTGCGCTGACTCGAGGCGAACTTGACTCCTCACCGAGCAGGATATTATTCACGCGATCGCAAAGCTCGCGATTTCCGAGAAATCATGCATTCGGAGGAAAAATCGCCCGGAAAAATCCGGAAGACCCCATTCGTCACGAGGAAATCATCCGACGAAGAATCTTCCGTGTTCTGTTCTGTGTTTTGTTAGTTGAAAACTATTCTCGCAATCCGGCAGAAAAAATTTATTCGGGCACGCGATTCTCGCTCGCGCGAGAATTATTTGTCATTCGGGGACAATAGTTCTCTCTCGCGGAGGCAGTCGAGGGGGATTCGTTTGCGTGCGCGGGAAAAAGGAATCCATCGTAATTTTTATTTTAATTGAAATATACTCGCGAGTAACGCCGGGGAGTCTGTAAATCCGCATCCGGTCCGCGGAATATCCGAGGTATTAGAGACTGGCGCGTAAATCCAAATGCATATTTGAATATATGTCGGACTGTCGGGGATGTTCCATAGAGCGTAATTGTGTCTCAATGGAGATTAATCCGCGACCGTGGGAACCGCAAATGGAAAATCATCGTAAAAAGTCCTTCAACCTGCCCGCCTGACCGCCTGTCTGTCTGTCTGTCTGTTTGCGTATCGATCGGCGCATTTCGTCAGAGCGCGATCCTCTCTTCCTCCTGCGTAGGACGCGCGGTCTTCAGATACTTCCCCAGCGCCCGTGTCGACGTATTAATTCCCCTCCATTTCGCCGTATTCAGCAATTCGGATTCCGATACCGGTTTACGCTCGTCCCCGTCCGCAGCCGTGACCCATGCCAGGTTATCTCGTGCGGATGAGCGTCAAAAGTGGCCGTCAACTATCCGCGCCGCGGCATTTCTTCGCGAGATCGTCGAGCGGCAGCAACCTTCGCTTCTCGCAACGGTGACGCTTCAGCGATGTTCAAGTACCTCGTCTTTGTGTTTGTGCTCTCGCACGGGTTTCCAGGATACGCGTTCGTCTACCCTGACGCAAAGGAAGAAGTCGCGAGATCCTTGAGAGATACGCCGGATGACAATAGCCCTGCGATCACAGGTATACATCTCCTCGCCCTAGAATTTTTAATTCGCAAAGTGCGGGAGACGCGCTTCTCGACTCTCGTTCTGTATCTCTCATCGTCACTTTTCACTTTAACGCCCCGTCGACATTAATCCAGATCTCGTCGCGAGTGCTCAGTCGTTCTATGTAGACCGCCATTTGAGACACTTTGTGTTTAGACGCATTTTTCTTCGTCGAAGCTGAGGTTATCGGTTATCCCGGGAGCTCGGGAATTCCCCGTGATTCATATTCGCCTCTTTTGCAGAGGAAATATTGCTTTTAAAGAGAGATAAAAATGCGAAACAACTCTTTTTATATCTTTTCTTTCACATCTCTCCGGAAAAATGCTAACGTGACCGTCGATTCTTGCGGCAGAGGAGATAAGCAAAGTGCCAACGGTTACGTTGAACGGAAACACCAATTACCACGTGGGCCAACAGATCTTTTACGTGTATGGCGAGCAGCAATTTAAGAAATTATTTTCGCCCTCAAAACGCACCACCTCCGAAAACGTCGAGAACGACTATCTCGTTACACCTGGCATAGGAGCGCACAAGCTTCACCGTCGCAAGATCACTTGGAACAAAGCTCGCAAGATTTGCATCGAGGAAGGAGGTAAAGAAAATCACTTGCGAAATATAACCGCCGATAACGAGTCTCCGTCATCATCGTCGTCGTCGTCGTCGTCGTCGTCGCTGTTGTTATTGTTATTATCGATCGTTAAAGTCCCACAATCGGAAATGCATTACGCGCGCATCGGAATAATTCACTCGACGTTACGCGTCGTCTCTCGACTAATCTCGAGCGCTTAACGCCGGCAAAAACGAAACGGCGATAAAAATTCCGCCGAGCGGGAATGATCTCTCATTATGTTTTGCACACAATCAGGTCACTTGGCGATCATCAATTCGGCTTCCGAGGAGAAGATTCTCTTGCGCCTGATGCAAGAGAAGAATATAGCCGAGGCCTGGATAGGACTTCACGATCTTTACGAGGAGGGTGACTGGGTCACCGTCACCGACGAGGCTCTCGAAAACACCGGGTACTCCAAGTGGACGACCAAATTCGCGAACCTGCCTGACAATTACGGCGGCTCGCAGAACTGCGCGGTCCTCATCACGGAGGGCGGCATAGACGATGTCAGTTGCACATTAACGCATTCTTTCTTCTGCGAGATCCCCGCGTGAAGTAACAAGGCGTAGGAGATTAATCTGCCATTCGACCGGCGCGGTCGTTGTTTATGCGCATTTATAGCAGCGTGTATAAATAAATAGTGAATAATCCTGCAGCGTCTTCTCTGGTGGATCGAACGGGGTATTAGGTTTTCAAAGATTCGTCTTTATGGATGTCGATACGTTTACACGGCGATGTTGGAAACTCCCTCCCTTCCTCTCTTTCTCTCTCTCTCTCTCTCTCTCTCTCTCTCTCTCTCTCTCTCTCTCTCTCTCTCTCTCTCTCTCGCTTTAACTCTCCCCTCCCGCCTCCCGTGAACATCCGGGGGGCTTAAACCGCTTTGTGAGAATCCGCTTGTGTAGAACGTAACGTGGGGATATAGAGAGGGATCGCACAGGAAACCCGAGCGAAGTCCGAATATCACGGATATCGGTCCCGGGATGATTCAATGAGATTCAATGAAATCGACTCCGCCAATACGAATAATACCGCCTCGCCGGCGAGGCGAGATCGCTCTCGATCGCGAGATCCGCCGATCCGCCGCTAGTCCTCGAAAATAGGAATATTCGAAGACGTCCGCGCGCTACTTGATTGCCGCGCCCGGCAATTAAGAATCACGCGGAGGGCCCGCGCAGCGTCGGCTGGTCTCAGCCGCGCGAAATTAGGCTCCTCTTGTGTCGTGTGTAGGATCACGCCCGTCCTGGAAACCTACTTAGTCATTCGACAGTGCCAGGTGGTCGAAACGGAAACGCAGCGGAACGTATCAGTGTTCGGGATCCTCAGGTGGTCCGCTGACAAGTCGAACAATCAGAGCTTTGAGACCGAGCCCTGGGCGTTATCTGTCTCCGATAATGTCGGGAATTGACAGATATCGCGCCTGTGTTAGTGACTGGCTGAGGATGTGCCTTGGTTGCTGCTGCTGCTGCGCAAAAGAAGTTCGCCGACGCGCCGGGTTCCGCGCTCGCTCGCGCGCGAATTCGAGGACGAATCCCGCGAGCGAAAGCCGCGACTCCCGATCGCTAACAACGCGCCAACGTCGACTATCACGGATCTGTCTACGACGGCTGGATGCTCCTTGTGCGACTCCCCATTTTCGCGATTCAGGCCGTCGTCGTGCTGGCGTATTACCCAGCCACTTGGGTTGTCGCTTTTGTTACGACGAGGTCGAGCCCGCGAGCGCCGCCGCGCTCTCCGCGAGCAGCACGAAATGCATAATATTCAGCCGCGACGGGAGGATTTTCCGGAGGAACTTGAAGGGGCGAATCGATATTCCTCTCCCGCACGGCGAGGCGGAAATATGCTGGTATTGTCATTCGCGCTGCACCGAAGGTGCTTTCGGGAGCCTTCTTAATGAACCGAAATCCCACCCGCATAATTTCCGCCCGTGCGAAAAATCCCGCCGCTGCGCTAATCCTCCGAACACGTATCCTCCGATATAAAGGTGCGTATACACCGAGCGAACAAACATCGAAGTATCTATTTTTTAACATCTCTTTATGAGCCAGCCGGGTCGAAAGCGAATCGAACGCCGACGAACGTTCGGTTTTTGTGGTATTTGCGTACACCTCTGTCGAATTTCTTCGCCTCTCCTCTCCTCTCCTCTCCTCTCCTCTCCTCTCTCTCGCAAGTATCGCTCGGTTGATGCGCGATTAACGCGCTCCTCAAACATCTCACCGAAACGTTTGATCGCGACCCGAGTAAAAAAATTAATAGAGCTCTGGTAAGGGTCTGATTATTTTTCCCTAACATTAATCGGGTTCGAGTAAGAATAGAAACACAAGGGCCCTACAAGATGTGTAACAAATGGTTTAACAGATCCTTATGAGGCAATATTATGAAGGCCTTATAAGGCAATATCAACAGGGTCTTATAAGGCGATATTAATAGCGCCATATAAGGAAATATATTTATTATTGCTTGAGTAAAAATATTCGTTCTTTTCATTCCAAGAAATTTAGACTGTAATTTCTTTATTTCGTTATAATCTTGTTAGTATACAAGAGTTTTTTATTTTAAAAATATAGCATACTTTACAATAAAATATAGCATTCTTTACACATAAAAATCCTGCTACAGTTTTTATTAAAGTTTACTGCATTTTGAAACGAAGGCAGTACTAGAAAAATCCTTAGAAGAGACTAATGAATATGGCAATTAATAAAACTGATAAAATTTGTTTTTAATTATGGTATAATTAAAAAATTTTCAAAACATACAGATAGAGCGTACTTATTAAATACTAAACTATGACAATTTTATTACACGCTTCAGATCTTATTAATGTTCTACAACAAAACTTGATTTTGTATATCTAAAGCATCCTTAAAAGATCTTTCTAAAGCCCTCATCAGTTTTCCTTATCAAAGCCTTATTTATTAAATCTAAGACATCCCTAAAAGATCCATCCCTTTTTAAGGCATCTTACTTTTTAGCTTTATGCTTCATGAGGATAACTCTAGCAATTTTTTGCTCGGGGAGCTCTTCGCGTCGGTCAATCGCGGACGTCCCCGAGCTTCGCGAAAAACGCCTCGCACCGGAGGTAGCGTCGAGCTCGTAGCCGCGCGACTCAATATCCCCTCGTGCTGTCATTCGTGCTCGGAAAACTCGAGGAGATCATTGAGTACTCTCGAGTGCGGGCTACGGGAAGTCGAGGAAGCGGTCGAAATTCGATTTAGCGCGAGCCTCCGATAACGACGTCGCGCTATCGCGCGACTGCGGCGGCCCTCGTCTCCCCCTCCCTCCCTCCCTCCCCCCTTCATCCCGTGTCGCGCTGCTTCGCTTCTCTTTCCCTTTTCTTTTTCTTCACCCGCTCTCCTTTTTTCTTCCCTTTTCCGCCTTCAACACCTTTCCAACGTCCGAGCTCTCTTCCTGCGCCTTTGTCGCCGTTAAAGGTGCGGAAAGTTTATCTATCCGCGCGTAAAGGACGCCTTTTATTATTTGTCGCTGCGCGGCCACGTCCTCCCAGCGGCTCCCGCGCTGCAGGAAGTTGCTTCGCGCAGTAATCTTAGCGCACTTAATTGGACATCGCCGAGAGTGGTACGGATAGGTGCTTGTCGCAAAGTGCTGAGTTTGCTGGGTAAGCCGGTCCACGACCACGTCACCAGCCATTTTCCTCGGGCTCGCGGTAACTTCTATACCGGCGCACTTGCCGCGGCCTGAGAGGAATCATCGACGAGCGGCCGCTCGGAGAGAGACGGGTATCGGTTGCTCGACGACTGGTCGTGTAGCGCGCCTCGCGGAAATTGCCGTCGACGTTGGCGAGAGCCTTGATTTTGCCTGGCGAACGAAGGCGAGAGTTCGGGTCGTTGAGGGACCGAGGGAAGCGCACCGACGAATTTCCACGCGCTACGCGCTGCAAGGAGAGTGCTGTCGAATCAACGGAATCGCTTAACCGCGCCGTAATCGGAGCAAATCCTGTCGATTCGATAGCGATGTGCCGTGGAAACTAATACCCGAGCTGTTCAAACAGCACACGACGTATTGCTTCCGGTAACCGCTGCACGTCGAGTGGAGAAGATTATTTTTACTCCGGTTACGGCGTTGCTGGTCGATTTTCTGTGTTGACTCGACAGCGCAGCATTTTTCCCGCACGTGCCGAAATCGCTCATCAGCATCGAGCTCGTCGTGCTCTCCCAGTGTGATATCTACAGTCCGGTTCCAAACTCGCGGGCCGCGTCAATTTAATAATTCGGCCGTTGATGAGCGCGATAAAACCGCGCGCGCGCAGACTCGCTTTGAGCGCGAGTCTCGTTTGAACGGCGGGACAGGCGCGTTATTACACTTTACTTTAATTAGTTCCCGAGACGTATACACCAGCATGCCGGAGCCAGTTGCCGCGAGTTACCTGAGTTTCCGGATTGGCACGGCCAGGAATAACCGCGTACGTAACGTGCGCGCGCGCGCGCGCGCGTCACCGTGCGTGTCGAAGTCGTCTTCGTACGGTCGCCGACTTTAATCGCCACGCTAAGACTTCCGTGAAGGTGAAACTCCGAAGAAGGGGACCGAGAGTCGGCGACGAGGACGACAACGGCTACCTTTCGCGCTGCTCGCGCGACCAGTCGCGCTTAGACGGTCTCCGGCCGAGGAACCCGAGCCGCGAGTCTCCAGTTCTGCCTCCTCCGTCTCTTTCTTTCGCCGAGCGAAGTCGCTCACCTCGTTCCCCCGGGCCCCAACCAGTGTGCTCGCGCGCGTCTCGTGCTCCTCGTCGTCGTCGTCGTCGTCGTTGTCATCGTTGCCGAGGCCCCCGCGACAATCGGGGCTCCTGTTTCCTCGTGATCGTGCGCCGACGTGACGACGCTGCACGTCGTCGCCGCGACCGACTCTAACGGCAATATGCTGGTGATAAGCGCCCTGAAGCAGGTGGCGAACGCTGCCACCAATGCGGTTCATTCGGCCACCGGCAACGTCACCGGACACGCTCATAGCAATTCCGGTGAGTGCAGACCGAGTGCTCGTCTTCTAGCTAGCTTCGCTCCCCGCCCGACGAGAGCCCTCTCGCCGCGCCGTGAGCTTGCCTTGCGCGATCTATTCGCGATCGATACACGTCGCGACCTCGCTCGGCTCCAATTTCGTCGGCCCGCTCTCTCCTGCCGCCGCGCCGCCTTCGACGTCGCACTTTTCTTATCCTTTGCCGCGATGATACGCTTATGATGGTAGATATCGTCCGTGCGCGTCGCTTTAACGCTGAAGCTTTGCATTCTCCGCTCGTAGAATTTGTGCTCGTGCTATATACAGGTGAAACCATCCGGTGCGTATCGCGTTCTCTTGCCTTCTCTCTGTCTGCCCCCCTCTCTCTCTCTCTCTCTCTCTCTCTCCCTTTCTCTCCTTCTCCTCCCCTTCTCTCTCTCTCTCTCTCTCTCTCTCTCTCTCTCTCTCTCTCTCTCTCTCTCTCTCTCTCTCTCTCTCTCTCTCTCTCTCTCTCTCTCCCTCTCTCTCTCTCTCTCTCTCTCCCTCCTCCCTCCTCCCTCCCTCCCTCCCCCCTCTCTCTCTCTCTCTTTTTTTCTGTCTTCTTCTCGCTCCTTATTTTTTCAGCTTTTCGGTTCAGTCCACGGGAAAGCATCCGCGCCGTGCACTGCACATTTGTATTCGCACAGAAATATCGCTTGCGCAAAATGTAAAAGGTTACATGGAGGCGCGCGGCACGACCGACCTCCATCGGTTTCATAAGAACGGTACTGCGAGCGTTAACTTTCTTGCCACGCCTAATGTCAAGATCGTAACGTCAATTACATATAGATCAGTCCGCGGACTACATGCGAGCAAGCGCGTGGCCCGGTGACGTCGGTCCAGTGAGAAAAATTCATCTCTCTCTCTTTCTCCTCTCTCCTCTCTCTCTCTCTCTTCCTCTCTAATTACGAATGCGTATTTCTTTTTTGCCGGTGTAGAAAGGAGAAATCGCGAGGCGATGTTTTGCGCGTATTCGTCAAACTCCGCCGATTCATCGAGCCGGGACTTGGCCTCAAAGAGTCAAAGGCGGCTTATCACGGGGGACGCAGGGGAGGCAGGGAGGAGATTTTGCATTTGCTCGCAAACGCCGTTTGCGATCGTTCGTATTTCACGGGAAACACACAGGCGCTTTTTATCGAGAGAAATTTTCCACGAGTAATTGCGAAACCCCCCTCTCCGACTCGCTCACCCATCCATCCACCTACCTACCTGCCTAACCCACCCACCCATCCATCCACCGCTCCTCCCTCCCTCCCTCCCTCCCCCTCCCGCTGCTCCTCTAACCCTCGCTCGCAACATTGTCGACATTCTATTATCTCGCTTCGGCTGATTTTTCGCGCGTATCAAAAGTCGATTAACAGTGCAGTTAGACAAATGCCAATTACTCAGTACCGCGAGGTGTAATGCAGCCATTACGGGCGACATTCACCGGCGCACGGACGCCGACACGTCGAGGAAAGCGTTACCGCTGGTAACGCGTTCATTATATGGTGTATCGATACGATAAGTACACAAGTGTTCCCTCCAAATCAGCAGAATTCCTTGTTTGCGAGCTGTACCATCGTCTAAAGTGGGCGAGTTCTCTCGTCGAGAGCGACTCGATATTTCCCGCAATTGTAGTCTCTCTCGCTCTCTCCCGTTTTCTTCCGTCGTTTTATTTATTTCTTTTTCGAGCGAGTAGTTGGTCTTACCGAGCTCTTTCGTTCGGTGGCTATCGACCGTACTCTTCATCGTCGTTTTCCTGTAAAGACGGTAAACTTCGCTCGAAGTTGAAATCCCCGGGAAAAACGCGGCTGCCGAGACCGCGAGGCAACGTGGCCGAGGCCACGCTGCTTCCTCGTTACTCAACAGCCGAAATCTTCGATGCCGCTCGTCATTAGCGTATATACGGTATGCAGTAACCTCGGTTTGTCACTAACCGCCGGCCGCGGAGCACTCGGATCGAGAAACCGAGCAAGTGAGTGGGATGTACATCGTTCGATGACCTCTCGAGCGAGAGGCGAATCGCTCTTCTGATGTTTTCACCAATACCTTAGAAAGTTTCTCGACCGCACCGCCGCCGCCGCCGCCGCACCGTGGAAAAGATACGTGTAGCCTTGAAAATCGCTCCGCGCGCGCACGCAACCAGTCGTCCGGTCTCTCCTGTGTGAAACTACCGGAATGGACGAAGCGTTCTTTTCCGGTAGTCGCGCGATACCGATTCGCGGTCGATTATCCGGACGCGCGAGGAAAATCCCCGCGAAATTGCGCCACGGGATACTCAGGGACCGCGAAATTGACCGCAAGTCCCGGCGAACGCGCGACAATTCCCCGGATCTCTGTTTTTCAACTTCTGTGCTCGGACTGGAAATCGAAGACACGCGGGAACGCTGTCCCGTTTACCGTTGCGAGCCACGCAAGGATAAAGGCGCAAGCGCGATAAGAGACACGATTGTTTCGCGGAAAAACGTTAATTGCTAGGATTATTCATGTTGGGTAGCACGAGCGCGCATCCTTGTGTACTCGCGTATTTTTCCACCGTTTCACTCCATTTTTCGCGATCGCCTCGTCTCTCACCTCGTCTCGCGTCGCCTCGCCTCGCCTCGCCTCGCCTCGCCTCGCCGTGCTCACTGGACTATCGCGTACTTTCTATCGCTCGTTACAAATAATCAGTGGCGAACAAGCTGCCATCCGTAATGCGAACGATTTGGCAAAGTAGAGAGATTCGCGATTACGCGACGGCTTAGTATGCGTTCAATCGCTCGACGCGCCATTCGCTTTAATTAACGTTCAAGTCAACCTAGGCGTCTCGGTATCCTCCAGGCAAACGTGCCAAAAGTTCACGATGCAGCTACAGCGCGAGAGACGCGAGCGTTGCGATAACGCAAAGAATTAATCTCTGATTAATTCTGCGCGTCTCAAGTAAATCGAGAGCCAAAAGGCTGAATAAACGACGACTTAATATTAGAAGCGTGATTTAGTTTTGAAGGTTTTTTTTTTCTTTTTTCTCAAAATCTGATTTACTTAAACAAGATAACGAAAGAATACCTTGATCAAAATATTTCCCTTCGTTTTCTACAATTCTCTCCCATCTTTCTGGCAAGAGGTAGATTCCACGACGATAAAAAAGATTCTTCTTTGGAGCTGATCCAATTTTCAACAAATTTTCCTTGCGCTTGTTCCAAGTTATGAAAGTGTGCATCCTTTAGAGCATGTTGCATCGACCGGAACAAGTGATAATCAGGTGGGGCAATGTCTGGAGAATACGCAGGGCACGGTAAGACTTGCCATTCCAGCTCTAATAGCATTTGCTTCGCTGATAATGCAACATGAGGTCGAGCATTGTCGCGAAGAAGGATCACTTTGCGTCGTTTGCTCGCAATTGGTGATCGTATTCGATTCAACGCTCGCTTCAATTTCTATAATTGTTGTCGATAACGCTCAGCGATGACAGTTTCATTCGGATTTAATAGTTCATAGTATACAACACCTTCTTGATCCCATCAAATATACCTTTGAGCAAGACCTTTGAACCGTGAATATTGCGGTTCGAAATGGATGTTGCTGATTGGCCTGAATCAACCCATGATTTTTTTCGTTTGGGATTATCGAAATAGATCCACCATTTTTTATCCTTAGTAGCAATTCGATACAAAATCTCTTCATTTTTTTGTCTGGAGATCAACGAAACGCAAATGTTCAACCGGGTTCGCAATGGCATTTTTCGATAATTCATGTGGGACCCATTTTCCTCCTTTGTAAATCTTTCCCATATCATGTAAACGTCTAGTACTGTTGCATGATCGACATTCAATGCTAGTTCTGAAGTGGATTGTGCTGGATTTTCGTCCAATAATGCTTGCAAGTCTGCATTTCCAAGCTTTTTTGCTTGTCCCCGAGCGATCTTTGTCGTTAACATTGAAATCACCACATTTGAATCGTCTAAACCAATATTCACCCGTCTTAATTGATGGAGTAACATCACCACAAGTTTCTATCAGAATTCTACGACCTCCAGCTGCTGTTTTCGTCTGAATAAAAGACACAAAAGCAACGCATGTCGAAAATGCTCTGTAGGAAACTCCATTTTTAAGATGGTATTAACACGATGTTTACTGCGTCTATTATTAGTAAATGACTAAATATCATGAATTAATATTAAAGCATTAAGAATGCTTAGAACTGAGAGACAATAGCTGTGATTGGAATATTTTCGACAAAACTGACATTAGTGCCGCTCTTGCAAAATCCTCAAAACTGAATCACACTCGTAATAATAACAATAATACTACTCTATGTCTCGGGGTTGTGTTGAAAGATATCGGACTTGACGTCCCGAGACTCTACTGCAGTCCCAAACGCGACACGTTCACCTTCTTCGAGTGTTTCCGCTGATTGCATTTCCCCGAGAGAGTCGAATATTTTCAGGGCATTTTATCATCGGCCGTCTTCACCTCTGACATCTCGCGTCAGCGGTCCTCCTTTCCAAGAATACGAGCCGCGATAACTCGTCGATGTCAGTGTCAAGAGTGCACAGAGCTCGCTGATAAAATCTGCTGCGGCCGCGGTGCAACGTGGTACAAAACTGTAAGAACGGCGATTCGCGACCGCATTCGCGCTGTTTCTCGACACCGGCCGATCAATCGCTCTCGAGATGTCGCGATACCTTCTGCTGTTCTCGCAAGTCGTCGTCTTGGTGTTCTCAGCGAGTATCGTCGAGCATGAGGAGGAGACTCCAGCGAAGATCCCGACCTGCGTGGTCGAAGAAGCTTACAACATCTGTCACTACAAGGGCGTACTCGTGGAGGTGACGCAGCGTCGGTCCGAGGATCGATTGGAAATCGGCGATTTGGACCTCCTGGCGATCCGGGAGGACGCCTTTAAGAATGTCACGGCGACGCACCTGTATCTAAACTTCGGTAATCGAATATCCGTGCTGAAGAGGGGATCCTTCCGCGGTCTGCCGAGGTTGAAGTGGCTCCACTTGGACAGCAACGTGGTGTCGTTGTCGGCGCACCTGTTCGCCGAACTGGAGCACCTGCAATCGTTGTCGCTGGTCTTCAACAAGATCAACTCGATACCGGCTGACTCGTTCGCCGGCCTGCCGAACTTGATGTGGCTCTACCTCGGCCACAATGACATCGCCGCGATCGACGCGGACTCCTTCTCGAATGCCAATCCTGAACTGCTGTACCTGTGGCTTAACTACAACAAGATCAGCCGGCTTGCGCCGGGCGCCTTCGCCAGGTTGACCGGACTGAATCGCCTCCACTTGGACTACAATCAGCTGGAGGGCTTACCGGCCGGCGCTTTCCAAGGGCTCAGCAAGCTGGAGGATCTCTACCTAAATAACAATCGGATAACGAGCATCTCCGGGGCGCTCTTCCGTGACCTAGTCGACCTGAAGAGACTCCATCTTCAGCAGAACGAGATCAGCTCTCTCCAGGCCGGGACGTTCCACGAGCTGTCTCAGCTGGAAGAACTGTTCTTGGAAGGGAATAAGTTGTCTCACATTGTAGCCGGCTCTTTCACAGGACTGTCTGAACTGCTGGTACTGAATCTATCCGACAATAACATTCGCACGGTAGACGACGGCGCCTTCGAGAATCTCGTTAAACTGCAACGACTCGAGGTAGACGGTAACAACAATACCGAGGCCCTCAAGCAGATCCACGTCTCGTCCACGGCGTAAACATCATTGGCCGCACGGAGATCTTTTTCTTATCGTAGAATAAAAAGAATAAACACTTGTCTGCGCCTTCCGGCATCGCTTCGAGAAGCAGTCATTACGATACAATTGGGACGCGTACGGGCTTATCAGTGGCGTGCGAACGGACAGGGGGTGGGAGACAGGGGGAAGAGGAGGGGTAAGAAAAACGATGTAAGCGCATTATTATACCTCTTGTACTCTCAAACACACTCTTGACAATATAACAACTTATATATCTGAAAAACGATGTTGGAAAATGTCAGATTTAATATCCCGACCGCCGTTTGTATGTGTGTGTGTGTGTGTGTGTGTTTCAAACGCTACATTCGCCCTCTTGGAGTTTCCCCGCTTATTGAATTTCTCCGGCAGTCGAATATTTCCGAATGCTCCGTGTCTCTGTGAAAAGACGAGACGCGCTACCCTTTCTTCATATCATCGTAGGCCTCGCGCGCCCACGGAGGCTTTCATCAGTCTCGCTCACAAGCGAGACACTCTCCTTGAGATTCGCCGATGGTCGCGCTCGATGAAAAGCAGCAGCTTCTCTTTGAGCATTCCCCCCGCGACTTGCGTCGCGGAATCGTGTAGCGTAGGATCAGCCGGTGAAATCGCGCGGAAAAATTGCTCAACTCAAAACTTTACAATGTTCCCTCTACTTCTTCCTCTTTCTCTTTTCGTCTTCCTCTCTCTTTCGTTCGAGGTGAAACGCGCCGAGCGACGCTCGGGTCAATCTTTACTCTCACCCGCGCCGTGTATAATTTGCGAAATAGTTAGCTAATGTTATCTAAAATATTAAAGTACGACACACACACATACACATGCGCTCACACGCACACAGACGTACACAACGCGCCCGAGTAGTTTCCTCAGCGGTGAGTTTTTCAAATTCCATCCGTCCGCCGGCTTGACGTGTATAGCTTTCGTTTATACTTTGGAATGGGCAAGGAGAAGAGAGGGAGGGGGAGGGGAGGAGAAATCTTTCCCAGAGGCGGAGAACTCGAGCATGGCGAAGATACTTCGGATATTTTTCGCAAAGAAACTTTTCCGGGAAGCCTCCTCTCTCCGGCTCTTCTACCGTTGCCAGAGATTGCCTCCGGTAATGAAACTCGCCGGAACAGGAGAGGTAGGGGGGGGAGGAGGAGTGGGATATTAAAGGGACGAGCATTATAAAATAAAACGTGTCGCTCGCGCGCGCACGTGCAATAGTTACACGAGAGGGCGAGAATTGAAATCACGAGAGAGAGAGAGAGAGAGAGAGAGAGAGAGAGAGAGAGAGAGAGAGAGAGAGAGAGAGAGAGAGAATTCCTTTCTCGAGGAGAAGCCTCATCGTCGCTGCACGGAGCACCGGTATTTGCGTCCGACGCGTACCATTTCGCGCATTCCAGCCGCGGAAACGGTAACACGCGTCGATCACACTCCCTCGTGTTTCCGAATCCGACAGAGATCCGCGATTTCTCTCGCCCGGGCGAGGAGAAGACGCGGCGGGGGCCTATAGTAGCGCAGGGCGCACGCTGCGCTACGCAGCGCGTGCACGCGGCGAGCGCGTGCACGTGCGAACGTTGAACGGTGTAAGAGACCAGCGCTCTGGTGGGGGGTGTAGGAGGTTGAGGTCGCATTGATTTTGTCTAGACAGGGTGGAGACTGGTGGTCCGCGGTATCGTCCTTCGCACCCATAGCCGCTTCGGTATGCCGTCATTCAGCGTGCTGCTGCTGCTGCTGCTGCTGCACTTGTCAGCCGGCTCGAGAGAGCGGTCCGTTTAGTTCGCGGATCGTTGCCGCGCGAGGAGGAATGTCGCCGGCGGGTCCTCCTCCGCCGTCCGGTGAAATTGGACCGCGATCGCGCTCAATAGGACGGTAATTATCGGACAGCCGAGTGCTGCGCCGCGCGAGCCGTCGGCGATTTTTCGAGCAGAGTCACTGCGCGCGCGCGCTCGCTCGCGATTAATATCCTGCGGTGCAGTCGCGGGAATTGTAACGCGAACTGCATCTCCGCGCGTGATGAACGCACGCGTAACGGCCGCGAGGATTGTTGCGTTAGGTCGAGAGTGCTGGATGCGAGTACACGCATGATGGATGAGCTCCGGAGTAACGGCCGACTCTCTGCTTCTTTTTGCAGGAACGCCCTCGACTCCGGTAATACCAGGCGGCACACCCGGCACACCATCCTCTAAGGCGAAGGTACGTCCCCCACGTCCTCGGTCGAAAGATCGAGTGCGCGGAGACCGCGTTATTTCATCGGCATTTTTGTCCGATCTCCGCGATAAAGGTTGATTAATTTGGCCGCAGGAAAAGATAATGCTGCGGGCGAAAGTCGTGGTGGCACTGTATCCTTTCCGAGCCATCGAGGGCGGCGATCTGTCTCTCGAGAAGGTGAGCAATGCGAGTACCGCCGCTCTCTCTCTCTCTCTCTGCTCTCTCTCTCTCTCTCTCTCTCTCTCTCTCTCTCTCTCTCTCTCTCTCTCTCTCTCTCTCTCTCTCTCTCTCTTCTCTCTCTCTCTCTCTCTCTCTCTCTCTCTCTCTCTCTCTCTCTCTTCTCTCTCTCTCTCTCTCTCTCTCTCTCCTCTCTCTTCTCTCTCTTCTCTCTCTCCTCTCTCTCTCTCTTCTCTCTCTCTCTCTCTCTCTCTCTCTCTCTTCTCTCTCTCTTTCTTCTCTCCTCTCTCTCTCTCTCTCTCTCTCTCTCTCTCTCTCTCTCTCTCTCTCTCTCTGCTCTCTCTCTCTCTCTCTCTCTCTCTCTGCTCTCTCTCTCTCTCTGCTCTCTCTCTCTGCTCTCTCTCTCTCTGCTCTCTCTCTCTCTCTGCTCTCTCCTTTTGCCTCCGGACGATGTTACCGCGACGGTACCGTCGAACAGTTCTTATTAATGATCCATGTTTTTGCGATCACACAGGGCGCGGAGTACGAGGTCCTGGACGACTCCCAGGAGCATTGGTGGAAAGTTAAAGACGAGAATGGGTATGAATCCTCTCAGACAACGTGTGGACAACTTTACGGACGTTTGTCTTCGCAAAATTTTCCAATCTCAGCCGGCTCTGCGTTTCTCTCATACTCGAAGTCCTGGTAGCACACACGACGCGACATGTTTGCTGCGCGGTGGAAGTTGGTCGGGGAATATCGCAGTAGCCAATGAACGTCCTACCTACCGCCGTTCTACCAGTTTTGTAAATACTGGCTGCGTTTCGATATTCACTGCCAATATTGAAAATATATAGTTTCTGTCACATATACTATAGGTTTTCAACGCTGATAGTGAATGTCGGGACGCAGCTACTACAGCCAGTTGCATAGAACGCGGCAACGCTTGCCAAGAGGCGGAAGTTGGCTAGGAAATATTGCGGTAGCTATTCAGCCATCTTGCTTGCTAGAAATAGCATTTACAAAACATGTGGCACATGGAACGTTTATTGGTACTGCGATATTTCTTAAGGGAGGATGCACACCTTGGCAAAAAAGCAGAAAGCAGAAGGGCAGCATCCAATTAGAAATTGCGCTGATAGGCTGTCTCTCTCTCTCTCTTGCGAGAGAAAGAGAGAAAGAGAGAGAGGGAGGGGAGAGAGAGAGAGAGAGAGAGAGAGAGAGAGAGAGAGAGAGAGAGAGAGAGAGAGAGAAGGGAGGGACAGACTATCAGCGCGACTTCTGACTGGATGCTGTTTCTCTGCTTTCTGCTTTTCCGCCAAGGGGTGAATTCGCTCTGATCAACTTCTGCCGCATGGCAGGCGTTTCCACGTGTGCAACCGGTCTTATCTACGTCTCGCACGCACGTGCATACGTACACACGTGATGCCAGTGATCAGTCGACGAGTGATCAGACGAGCAATTGCGAGAGACCGAGCGCAGAATACGCCGCGCTTCTCTAGCAAGCGGTAATCTTAGCGGTACTCTTGGATAATCGCTGGATAATGTCTCTTCGTAAAGTTGTTTACGGTCGGATCTCACATGCTGTGATCCGCGCGTGCCGAGCTTGCGATGGGCCGCAAAGGACTTCTGCGTGCATACACATGTACGATGCATGCTTTGTAATTGCAGATCGATCGGCTATATTCCCAGCAACTACGTCAAGGAGAAGGAACTGCTGGGGCTACAGAAATACGAGTGAGTCCGGTGTATATCATTCTTATCGTGCATCTTCCATCGCGTCCAACTGAAAATAATCGCGCGACTCGACGCACGAATTGCTGCGCTGCCACGTTATTTTTCTCATGTTTCACGTTAGCTATCAATTATCCTCCGGCAGATATTCGATAGAGATACTCCTCTCCCGTAAATCGCGAAACCTCCTCCTCTCTTCCCTCCCCCCGGGTGTCTGATAAAAGCCGAGAAAACGAGCGGGCCGCTTGTGTTGTTGCAGATGGTACGTGGGCGATATGTCGAGACAACGCGCCGAATCGCTGCTGAAGCAAGAGGACAAGGAGGGCTGTTTCGTTGTCCGTAATTCCTCGACCAAAGGACTCTACACACTCTCCCTTTATACTAAAGTGTAAGTCATAAGTCTCTCCCCCGCTAATTCTGCAAGTTTATCTTTCCGGTTGACGCGAGCGACCGGCGTCGATTTAAGGCCGTGTCTTTTCAAATTTCACCTCTCCTGCCACTCTCGGGTATTCTCCAGCTCCGTTTATCCTCGGTACTTCTTTCTCTTTCTCTCCCCCCCCCCTCCTCTCTCTCTCTCTCTCTCTCTCTCTCTCTCTCTCTCTTCCGCTGGTTAATCTGAGATTTTTTATTTCGTCGCAGGCCACACCCCCACGTGAAGCATTACCATATCAAACAGAACACCCGCGGCGAGTTTTATCTGTCGGAAAAGCACTGCTGCGGCTCCATTCCCGATCTGGTGAATTACCATAGACATAATAGCGGCGGCCTGGCCAGCCGACTGAAGACCAGCCCCTGCGATCGCCCTGTACCGCCGACCGCCGGCCTCAGTCATGGTAGGTAACTCTTATTCCCTCCTTTATTCCAAGTATAAAATATATGCGAGGGGAAAGAAACAAAAACGAAGAAGAAGAAGAAGAAGTGGAAGAAGAAACAAGAGGAGAGAACTTTTTCTTGACTACTTGGCGCCACTTAACGGTCGACTTTTTTTTCGCAGACAAATGGGAGATCGACCCGGCGGAATTGCATTTACTGGAGGAGCTTGGGTCCGGCCAATTTGGAGTTGTGCGGAGAGGAAAGTGGCGCGGCTCCATCGACGTTGCTGTGAAAATGATGAAAGAGGGAACCATGTCCGAGGACGACTTTATAGAAGAAGCTAAAGTAATGACGTAAGTTTCAACCCAGTTTCCTTTATGCCACGTGAAAACTTGCGACGGACAGCCGCGCGCTCGGGAGGAACCCTTTTAATTTAATTGAGGACCTTATGATGCTCTGCTATCGCGGTCGTGTTTTTTCAAACAAGAGTAACGTAACATCGGTTAATGCGCTCTTCACGACGACCTCTCATTTGTTCGCTCTGTCGTTGTGTGCCCAGAAAATTGCAACATCAAAACCTAGTCCAGTTGTACGGCGTCTGCAGCAAGGATAGACCGATATACATCGTCACCGAGTACATGCGACATGGATCCCTGCTCAACTACCTCCGCCGTCACGAAGCCTCGTTAGGCGCAAACGTTGGCCTCTTATTAGACATGTGTATACAGGTAATGTCAATATTGTCGAGCGTTCGGTGGAATGTACATTTGTCAACGCAATTTCAAGATGACACGATGACCGAAACTTTGCCATGTCCATAGGTTTGCAAAGGAATGGCGTATTTAGAGAGGCATAACTATATACACAGAGATCTTGCCGCACGTAATTGCCTGGTGGGGTCGGAAAACGTAGTCAAGGTCGCCGATTTCGGTTTAGCTAGGTAAGTTACTTTACCTGTCTGTTGCATTAATCGTCAACGGGATAAACTTCTCGGGCAAACCTGGCGTCGATTTTTTTCACACAAAACATGGGAGGCACCGACGTGCTTTTTCGGCTTGTAAGTTTTACGCGAACGGACCTTGAAGAAGGGCCAAAGTGGGATCCTGAGGCCATTCGACTCCAGATTGCTCGACGAATCTGTCATTACAAGATAACGTGCGAAAGTAGAAGCACGACAGTGTTGTATGTGTTGTATGTGAGAGAGAGTGTGTATATATATGTTGCTTAACTAACTGATTACTTTCAGGTACGTGCTGGACGATCAGTACACCAGTAGCGGGGGCACTAAATTTCCTATCAAATGGGCGCCGCCAGAGGTACTGAATTATACACGCTTCAGTTCGAAGTCGGACGTGTGGGCGTACGGAGTGCTCATGTGGGAAGTGTTCACGTGTGGAAAGATGCCTTACGGTCGCCTAAAGAACACGGAGGTGGTCGAGCGGGTACAGCGGGGGATTATTCTGGAACGACCTAAAGCTTGCTTCAAGGAGGTGTATGAGGTGAGTCAGTGCCGTGAATCTCGCTCACTGTGGTCTCTCCCCCCCTCTCTCTCTCTCTCCCTCTCTCTCCCTCCCTCCCTCCCTCCCTCCCCCTCCCTCCCTCCCTCCCTCTCCCTCTCGGGCTCACACCACGGACTCTCTCTCGGTTTTCAGGTGATGCGCAAGTGTTGGGCGCACGGTCCTGAGTCGCGACCGTCCTTCCGCGTCTTAAAAGAGCAGCTGATCAGCGTCTCTCAAGGTTTAGTTAACGATTGACTCAACCTTTTGCGGTGTATGCGCCTGTCCTCGCCCTCCTGCCGCTCGATCCAACAACCGGCGTCCAAGTCACCGTCGTCGGAGCGATCGCCTTCCACATTACCCTCATCGAACTTGTCGTATAATTCAGCAACATTGCCGTCGTCGCGCAAGATACGCGCGCCCGCGTCCCCGCCTTCCTCAGCAGTCGATTTCCTTCATTTCTCGTCGACCACGTGCAAATCAAAAGGAGAGGGCTCGTCGTCGCCGAGTACACCCGGGCACCAAACTAGTCAACAACCATCCTCGAGCTCGACTAACGTGTGTGACGTATGCAGTTCCTACGGACATCCGTGGATCGAAATCTGCAAGGCGATACGAGCCACTAGAGGTAAATGAGCAGCAGCGTATGTGCGTGAGTGTGTGTTTGTGTAGATGTGTGTATGTGTGCGTGTGAGTGTGTGTGGCACGTACGCGTGTGTACGTGCGCACATGTAATTGAATTTATACTACTGTATTTTCGCGGCTTTACGACGTTACAACCGTACTGTAATACGGAGATGTGTGGTTCCAAGCCTTTTTTCCTCTTTTGCTCCCCCTCCTCCTCCCGTCTTCCCCGCAGTCCTGTCCCTTACTCCGCTCCCCTTCCCCATGCCCGCGTAAAGGCAATACTCATCCCTCTCGTTTATCCCCACTTTTATCCTCTGAATATGCCGGAACACGATGTTCCGGACATTTCCGCGACTACGTCTGACACCGAGATGCGTGATATTTTATCGTGTGTTTCACATACTATTTTTCCCATATAATTTTTAGACTTTACTCTGTATCGTCATAAATACATTTATAAATAGAACAATAGTATTTATTGATGGCCTTTTGCAAACAAGCGCAATATTCCAATTGTGATTCCGTCTCTAGAAAGAGAGAGAGAGAGAGAGAGAGTAGCGTTTCTTTTTCTATTATTGATCTTGACAGGCGGTAATACGATTTTGGAATCGGAGGTGTTGTCTCTGCTTAATAAACCGATTTAATAAATAACCGTTCGGCCTTGTTGTCTGTCGTGTTACGTTGCGATTAATACGCGCGGCCACGGAGCAAGGAGGCAGCCGCAAATAACCGCGCGTTTTGATCCGGCTAATGGATTGGCCGTTTGCCATTCGGAATTGTCTTGCTGGACAGGCATGAGCGGGTAAGTGATTTATAATTTGCAGCGCCTGGTGAATTACCAGTCACTGCGCGAGTAGCTCAGTCTCGCAAATCTGACGTCTCTCTGGCGCGTACGTCACGTGCCAAGTATAAATATTAATAGTAAATATGAAACAACACGCGCGTGAGATCCTGGCCGAAGTGATGAGGGCCGTATATCGGTATACGGTGAGAGGCGGGAACTTATATTCACGGTTTCTGTGACAGGCGACGATGACGGAGAGGGAGATGAAGAATCTTACACACGTGCAGATGATATTAGTTGCGTTTATTAAAACTTTCTTAAATTCGTCCGCAAACTTAGATGCAGACTCGACGGAAAAAGAAAGACAGAAGAAGAAAACAGATACAGAGAGAAAAGAAAGTCTGTCCGTGTGCCGATCCGCGATGTGGGACGTAAACCTGTCGCTGAATTATCGCGAGTTTACGGGGACAAAGCAGCACTGGTATCGTAAGTGTAACAAAAGTAAAGAAATAAGTACTCGATGCGTATCTCCTATGCAATTATAGAAACTACATTCTATTTAGATAACGTAAATATAAATGAATGTGAATGAGTGTGTGATAAGTATTTTTCACACCCCCGCGCATTTACAGCGTTACGCATATGAGAAGCGTAGAGACCCTTGGAGCTGATCTACACGACATTTATTCCTACGAGCGCCTGCAAAAGAAAGATATCGTCCTTAGAAAAGGAAAAAAAAGCACAAAACAAGAGATAAAAGTTCACAGCGCGCGCGCGCGCGATTAACGCATCGTGTACGAGACGATGCTCGATTATATATCATCCGCGGCTTCCCGAGCGCGTATGTACATCAACTATCGATACATGCGCGATTAGATATCGGATAACTGAACGTGCAATTAGTTATTAGACGACCGCGTGTATCGGAAATTGATTGATTGTACGTACAGGATGTATAAAAAGTACCAGGCCAGCGAAATATCTCGAAAACTAAGCATTTCAGGAAAAAATGTCTCGGATAAAAGTCGCATGGTTTCAAGGGGGACGTAAAACGACTATATCATTTTATTTACAGATGACGCTACTTTCGAGATATTCACTGATCGTTACTTTTCTTAAGTGGAAATTCTAATTTTTTATTATATCTTCTTTTTCTACTAATTAATTTGGATAATTTTCGTTTGAAACATTTTTTTTTACTTTTTTTTTATTTGCCTAATATGTTTCGAGATATTTCAGGAAAACTCGATTACTTTTTCAATGTTTAGTTTACGATATCTCGCTAATTGTTTGTCGGAAGAAAAAGTGGTATTAGAATTTTTTATTTTACCTGGTCTCAGGAATATATTGTTATAATAGTGCCCTAACTTTTGTTAACTTATCGACCTTCGGAAATTTCGAAATCATCAAATTAACAAAAGTCAGGGCGCTATTGTAACAACATATTCTTGAGACCGAATAGAGTAAAAAAGTCTAGTATCATGGTTTTCGAGATATTTCACTGTGCCGGTACTTTTTATACACCTTCTGTACAGAGTAATTCATTTTAGTTTATCCACTGAAATATCTCGAAAAATATGAGAGCTACGGAGAAACATTTCAGACAAAAATTATTTGGTTCGAAGAAGGACATGAGACAGCGCGGTATTATTTTGTTTATGCCACTTTCGAGATATTCACTGATCGTCGTCACTTTTCTGACCTGGAAACCTCAATTTTTCGTTGTATCATCCTTCTTTTCCAATCAATTTGAACAACTTTTGTCTGAAACATTTTTTTAGATCTTTGAGGAAAACTTGGCAACTTTTTTAATATTTGGCTTACAAGATCTCAGTAACTATTTATCGGAAGAGAAAGTGGTACTAGACTTTTTTATTCTATTTAGTCTCAAGAATATATTGTTACAATAGTGCCCTAACTTTTGTTAACTTGTTGACCTTTGGAAATTAAAAAAATGGCCAAGTTAGGGCGCGCGGCGCGCATTATCGTGTTCTTATTCTATTTTAGCATATTTTTGAGACTAAATAGAGTAAAAAAGACCAATATCACTTTCCTTTCCGACAAAAAGTCACCGAGATTCACCGTGAGGTGAATCTTGAAAAGAATTACCAAGTTTCCCTTAAATACTTAAAACAAAATATTAGGCAAATAAAAGAATCTTTCACAGACAGAAAATTTGTCCAAATTAATTAGCAGGAAAAGATGATATAATAAAAAATTGGAGTTTCCGTTTAAAAGAAAAATGGCGATCGGTGAGTATCTCGAAAGAGCGGCGGCTCTTCTTCTGTAAACAAAATAATATCGCTGTCTCATGTTCCCCTTCAAATCAAACAACTTTCGTCTAAAACCACTTTCCGCGATGTTAATCGGGATGCACGATTAAAACGGGACACCCTGTATACACATACACATGCTTCTTACGTACTTGACCGGGTACAAGAACGTCGACACGCTCTTTTCCGTATCGCCGGACTGCACCCTGCAGATGTAATCGCCCATGTCGGACCACTTGAGATCCTTGATCCGCAGATCGCCGTTCGCCAGCACGGTACGCCTTGCGAACGCCGACGTGCCGATTCTGTTGCCCATGTTGTCCAGCCAGAGCAGATACGGCATCGGCCGGCCTTCGACCCTGCACTGTAGAATCACTGTGCTACCCTGCATAGCGAGTCTCCACACCGTGTGCAGGGTGATGGTGGGCTCGCTCTCGCTGTCACTGCATTCTTCGGTCCTGGACTCTGTCGAGAGCAGAAGCAACGTACGTGGTTACCTGGACGATGCGACGTGCGCGCGCGCGCGAGAGTCCACCTTGAGGACTGGTCGTTGCACTTACTGTCGACCAGGAGCAACGACGGCTGCGAGTACACCACCTTATCGTTCGACACTGACACGCAATATCTGTAACCTTCGTCTTCGGGCTTCACGCAATCGATCACGTATTTGGAAATGTACTGAGCAATCCCTTCCATAGGCAGGTCATTGTTACCCTCCTCCTGAGCCCGCGTTGTCATCTCTTGGATCTGCCGGAATAACGACGAGGCGGCGCGAGGGGAGAGACGCACCACGAGATTGCCGTGGTTATTTATTCGAAAGGGAAGAGCCGGGGAGGGGAGTGACACACAGTGTCAGTTAGTGATCGACGGTCGACGCCGGATGAGCGAAAGGATGACGAGAAGAACAGAAGAAGACACCCGCGCGCGCGGGTGTCTGCAACGACAAGCAACGACGACGACGACGACGGATTTCAACGGGTCTCGCTGCTGGGTAGCGATCATGTAACTTTTTTTCCTAACAGCGGAAACGTCCAAAGTCTAAAGTTTCACGTGAACTGGACGACTTTGACACGACCGTGTAACCCGCTCCAACAATGGAAATGTGAAACTTTTTTTTTTTTACGTTTCTGCTCCTGGGGATAAGTCACATGATCGCGCGCCGGCTTGGCTCTCGTCCGCTTCCAGTTTTGCCCGGACCCCCGGAAAGAAGGAGGGGGCCGGCCCGTGGACTGACACCTGAAAGTCGAAACTCGTCATCGTCTCGTCGCCGTTACTTATGCATACACATGCATACACCTGGCGCTGGATTATTTATCGCCGCGTTCACCGCGCGGCGGATTAAGCCGCGCGAGGATCGGAACGGCGTACGCTCGAGCACGCCGTGTGATAATCGCGCGCGTGAGACCCACCTGCCTCTCAGCCTCTGTCCCGCTGAACCAGTACACCCGGGGCGGCGGATTCCCATTTACCACGCATTGCAATTCAACGCGACTCCTGAAACGAAATATGCGATGAATGCGGCGCGAATCGCGGCACTCTCGGTCACGTTACCACCGTCACACATCACGCTGCCGCCGTCTCGTCTCAATTCGCTATCAAGGCGCGCGCGAGCCCTCACACACTCACCCCGCGCCAACCTGCAGCGACGTCGGTTCCTTCACAATCCTGGTCCATGTCGCCAAAAAGTTCCTCTGCAACAACAGTTTAGTGATATTCGGGTGTTCAAAGAACGGGAGAGGATATTTGGCTGGATACGGCGAGCCGTTCAACTGAAACTAAACAAGTGAGCCAGTGGTGAGTGAGGTGGTGAACGAAAACGAAGGAGAAGAAAGACCAGAGAGTGAGAGGGCGAAGGAAACGAGGGAGAGAGAAGAAAGCGAAGGACTCGGGGCGGAGGGGAGTGCAATTGGGAACTGGGTGTACTCGCGTATTTTGGCAAACTCTGCAAGGTCTAAGCTCATTGGAGATCACTCGCGTGCGATATACCCTTTTATCGTTCGCATCTCCCTCGCTGCCAGCCGCCGCCACGCTGAGTTGACCGATCGCCAGCAGCAGTATCAGACAAGTATCGAGTACCCTCCTCCCGGACAGACCCCGCGGTTGCATCTTGGAGGATGTACGAGGACTTGCAACAGAGGAAAGAGACACTTTCGCTAATCATCATCGAGCCGGAGAAGCACGAAGAGAGACCAACAACACGTGCACAGTCTCGCCTGATTGCGTTCTCGGGGACAGGGGGAGTCGACGAGTGCGACGAGGAGATGGACGACTCACCTCGCTTGGCTGTGTGCACGTTTCACCGAGCGTTTAAATACTGAGAATCTACGTCGCGCCCGTCTATATCCGTGAACGCGCGGTGGCACACGCGCCGAATTAATGAAACGTCGCCGGCGGAGTACAGGTGAGAGAACGTATAAACGCGCGCTTCAATCAACGACGACGACGACGACGACGACGACGACGACGACGACGACGACGACGACGACGACGACGACGACGACGACGACGACGACGACGACGACGACGATGACGACGACGACGATGACAACGATGACAACGACGTCGTTCGTTTGTTCCTTCGACTTGCAATGTGCAGTTGTTGTTATTGTTGTTGCTATTGCTGTTGCTGTTGCTACTGCTGTGATTGTTGTTACTACACTTCTGTGTCGCGTGTCGCACTATATCGACTTCAAGTATACGTTTAATATACGCAGCTATATGCGTGCAAATAAGAGAGCGACTGATTTACGTTGAATAGCCGAGCGGCTAATGCGCCTTCTGTGCCATACAGGTAGCCAGAAACTTGGAAAAGAGGGCAGGTCGAGAGCGGATGTGAATGCAATGTCACACTAATTGTTGCATCATCCTTTTTTTCGGTTTGAGCCGGTTTGACCTGACTTGACCGGGCTTAAGAGGGACCGTGCCGGCCGCGAGACCGGCCTTGAGGGACACGTGCGCGAGATACTCTTCATAATGGATGCTCTTCCGTTCCTTTCCTTATCTTTCTCTTTTTTTTCTTTTTTCTTTTCTTTTCCCTTTTGTACACGTTCTTCCACGGCCGGGACATGTTCTCGCGCGACTTTAATTCCACGTTTCTCCGCCTAGTGGACTTTCACACGACGGCGTATCCTCGGGAATACGCGTCGATTGAAACGCGCATCAGCCTCTCTCTCTCTCTCTCTCTCTCTCTCTCTCTCTCGTTCTTCTTTTTCGTCGTTTAACGGTTGTCTCGCACGCGCTCGTGGATGGAACTCTTACTTGCACTAGCGCGTAGAGCGGAGCCGGCCGCTTTTGAACAACACTCGGCGCGAGAGGTGCTCCTTCACGACGGAGCTATTTTACTTACCCGCTCCTTCCTTCGAAAATTGCGCACTTTCGGCAGCGGGCCCTCGCCGGCCCCGGCTGAGGAGACTCGTAGATTTCTAACGAGATATTATTAATCGATACGTTTGCGCGCATTCTCTCCGCCACGTAGTAGTTCTCTTCACGCGCGTTCGCGACAGTGAGCCGCGATATCGTTGAGAGTGCGACAAATCCAGGCCGGTTATTAATTAATATTTATGCGCGAAATGTATAACGTTCTCTCTCTCTCTCTCTCTCTCTCTCTCTCTCTCTCTCTCTCTCTCTCTCTCTCTCTCTCTCTCTCTCTCTCTCTCTCTTACCTCACACGTACGATGAGACGACTTTTCCGTGAACGAGTGAGCGAAATCTTGCGAGTGCCGGAAGAGCGTTTCGAAGTTGATGAAAATGGGAGGAAAAAAAGGGCAAGCGCTCGCGGTTTACCAGCGACGAACCGAGAGAAGCCGACTGAACAGAGGTGGAACGGTTATTGGTCCATTTATACATTTCGAATGTAACAGCGGGCGCCCTTCCCTTTTCTCCGATTGGTCGTTATTACCGGGGGAGTAGGGCGATAATACCACGGCAAACAATCGAATTCATTATCTTCACGGGTCGTTTGTACCCGCGTAATAGATATATCCCCAATTTGTTTCCACCCCTCATCTATACACGTCCATCGATTTTTATTTCAAAAGGGAACGACACACGCAATAATTACTTTTATTGAATGCGATCGTATCAGGAAGGAAATGACTCCAATTACCCGGCGGATCTATATCTCGCGTGGAAATATTTTTATATTTTTCTCTCATCTCTTCCCCTCCCTCCCCTCCTCCTCCTCCTCCTCCTCCTCCTCCTCCCCACCCTCCCCTCGCCTTCTCTCTTTCTTTCCCTTTCTCTCATTCTCTTTCGCTCTCTCATCTCTTTCTCTTTTGTTCTCTCTTTTTCTCGCACGACCCACGAGCGCAGGTAACGATTCCGAGAGCGACCCAAGACCAACGTGACGGCGGTCACGTTGGTCGATTTGTGTTATTTAACAGAACGTTTAGTTGGGAGAGATAAGCAGCAGCGTCACCTTGACTTCAAACTTGGCGAATGAAGAGCTTAACGGAGCGATCGAGATATTTCGCTTTGGTCGCCGTTGCCATCCCTCCCCCTCTATCGGGACCTTCAATATATCATATAAATTAAATTCACCGGATCCGTCCGAATGGAGCGATAATTAGCGATTACGTCGCTAACGGAGCTGCTCCTCTGCCTCCTCCCCAAAGGGGTCGTCTCCTCCCTCCCCCTCTCCCTCCGTCCCTTTGCGTCTGCGTTCTCACCTGAGTCGTCCTTATAATTAAATTCAACAACACGGTACACGCGGTACAGACAGGCTCTGTGATGTACAAGCAAAACAAGAGAAACAAAGAGGCCGTGTGTGAAATCCGGTGTCGTGGAACGAATAATTTTAAATCCCGGCAGGATAATAACACTTTTGAACATCGTACAGGTAAATCGTACCTCGGTTGATTTGTGACTGTCCGTGCGGATTCATGCGAGAATTTTTGCGGAGACTCGCTCTCTCGCCGCTTTACACAAGGGAACGTGAAATATATATATATATATATATATATATACACATATATCTGTCGAAGATTATCAATCGCGCGACTTTAACGAGCTGGTACTCGCGCGCGCCATATATCTTCTTGTTATGTTACCTTTATTACGGATCGATCGGCGTGTTGTATCTTTCGTTTTATTAGTCGCAATAATATTTTATCGTTTCCGTGTAATTTAATGCTCGCTGAAGAATAAACGAACGTTATTGCGATCGTCCGAGAGAGAATCTAGGATACAATCTAAGATGCAATAGGCCAATTTTTATGGCAAAAATTACACCAGGGAAAGAGAGAGGGGGAGACACGCAGGAGATGATCCTGCAGTTGGCACGCGCTGCGTCTTACTCGAGAGCGCAACGGGAATTGCGCTTCCTGTCAAACTTGTCAAATTGAACGAGCTGCGCTTTGCAATGACGGTGAATGAACTCGCGGAGATGAGCGCGCAATTCGCAATTCGCGACTCGTGACGATTAGAATCTGATCTAATCAAACGGGAAAAGAATCGCTCTCGCGTCTGGCTATCGCGATAGCACTGGGGAAATTCGCGATTAATCGCAAGCGGCAGGTCACAAGGTCTCTTTGTGAGAATTGCGGAATAATAAACATTTTTCATCGATAACGACGGCCACGACGTGATCATCTACGACCGCCGAGTCTCAATATTCAACGATACTTCATAATAATATTGTTGTATATTCCAAGTCGGAATTATACAGAAATCCCTCGATCCAATATTGCGACTTCTCGCTCCGACATAACTGATCAACGTGTCTCGAAGCATGCGTCGCCTATGATTAAGCAACCATTCGTTTCTATTATCGAGCTAAGGAATACGACATAAATCACAATCAGAGAGAGAAAGAGAGAGAGAGAGAGAGAGAGAAATGCAAATTCGGTTGAATATAACAACACACGACGAATGATTATGGATGAAACATTGACGAGATCTTGTATCGTAGAGAAAAGATTTTATTTTTCAAAACGCGTAATAAAAATACATACTTTTTTTGTCACAAGTATATATATATATATATATATATATATATATATATAGATATGGCGAGGCGCGATAAAGCCTTCTCTACAATATCCTCTTTGCTTTCTGTTTCTTTCTCTTCATCTCTTTTTCACAAACTTTAAGTTTCAAGCCGAAAAAAGGATAAAGAATAAGAAACGGGCAGTACAGGCAGCACATAGTAGATCAGGCTTAAATCTATCAAATTTCGTTAAAAAAAAAAAAAAAAAAAAAAAAAAAAAAAAAGAAAAAAAGAAAATTTAAACACACGTATGCACACACTGTACGCGTTGCGAATAAAAACATCACAGTGCATACATCGTGAGCGAACAATGTTCGAGTTTGAGGTAGTATCTTCGATGAAATTTTTGCTTCCGCAGGCGTTTCGCGTCGAAAATGCGAATGAAGTATCATTATGTCGGCCAGCTGTGACGTTGATAATGCTGACGTCCTTGTGAGAACATGATCAGTCGACGTTTCACATTATTGACTCCATCCTCATGAATTTCAGACGTTGCTGCAAGAGATCTTCCTCCGCCTTCATCTCGCACTTCGAGTCTGCTGGTTTTATCGTCGACCTGAGGATCATGATTCGATCCCGATTACTGTTTGATCGATAGCGAGAAAAGCATCCGGTAGCGCGCGCGATATACTTACAAATCTGTGCACAACTGCGCGAAATGCTGCGGCATGAGGTAACGTGTATGCGGGGAAAGATCTAGAAACGGATCGTTTACGTTTTCCGAACTTGCCAAGCCTTCGAATCTGAAGATAAAAAATATATAGTAGTGGTTCCGAGAGTGCGACCCAGAAATATTTGTGCCGACGAGTCAATTTCAAATCGTGCTCAAGATATTCGATTATATATATCGGATATATTCTCCACGTGCCTCACCTCACGACAAAGTGTTTGCGATACTGAAACACGAGATCCTTCGTATTACGTTTTGCCAATTCAAGTACAACGGGAAATGCCACGTCGCGGAAATCGCCTATCTCGTAATATTTGCTGAGTTTATTCAGATTCGTGTCGCTCTCCCTCGAGTTTGATATCACTACGGATCTTGTGGCCGGCGTATCTATCCAAACAACGCGACATCCGCTGTTAAGTAAATCGGTGAACCATAAAACAGCACCGACTCTAGCTACATCATTCCACTCAGCACCATCATGCCAATCATGCACCTTGAAAGTATAATTGATCGTAAAAAAATCTTATTCGATATTTCTGGTAGACTTTTAACCTTTCGCGACACATCAAACTCTTTTGATCTTGATAAACAACAGGAAAACATCTTAATTTCCAAATATTCTAACGTTACACATGCAGACTTCGACGATTGAAACTTACAGTACAGGAACACATTTTGGTAAGCATCTCACGGAAGTCCTTCATCATCGCTATAAAAGAGGCAGAACCTTTGGTGTATACAAGCACAATGTCGTTGTACGTAAGTTTATCGCGATCGATATCTTTATTGCTGTTGTTTGTCTCGACGATGTTGAAGTCGGTGGATTTAAGGCAGGTAGGATTCGTGAAGTCGTCCTGTTGCGGATTCACGTACAGATTGACACACTCGTTGCGAATACGAAAATGATGCATGAAATATAATGTTCCAACTATCGCCAATACCACCAATATGATGACGATGATCGGAAACAATATATATGGGCTTGTAGCAGGTAGCAATTTGCTTGACATTGTTATGTTCTCAATATGTTGCGAGGTTTCGACAACTTTGGTACAACCTGCAGGATACAATTTACGATATGATTATTCTATAAAATACAAAGTACAAAATACGTCTTCAAGTCTGTCTGTTTTTTTTATTTTATATTGTTTAACTTGTACTTACGCTTCAGCCAAGCGCACGGTATGTTTTTATTCATAGGTGGCCTCCAGATGGTATCTTTTTCGCACCGTTCGTCGAGTATGAACAATATAAGGCAATAACCTGGTTGTAGCGTAGTTTGTACTTGATAATTGCACTGCACAGTCTTTGTGTATTTCTTGTTTTCCCATACCTGTATGTCAGATGAAATTTCCTTTTTTAACTTAATTTGCATATATATGAATAAAAGTGGAATCTAAGCACTTCATTCTTTCTGTTTCTGTTCAATATATCAATACACAATATATCAATACATTTTGATGTGGATATATATAAATAAAAATATTGCAATATTTTCTTTGTATAAACTTGTTCGAGAAAGTATAAAATACATGTACGCCTTCTCCATTTGCTATATATATAGCCATTTTATATACAGAGCCAAAATCAATTTTGTTTGGCGCTATAAAATGAACTACAACATTGGATTAATGAAAGGCTATATATTTACCCTATTTATCTTGCAATTAGGATTTTCATCTCCTGTAGAGTTCTCCTGTAAAGATAAATCAAATGTTAGTTTAGTCGAAATAAAAAAGAAATATATTTTGTAAGAATCAAATTGCAATAATCCAATATTACCAAAATAATACTCCATGTATCAATGCTGGTTACTCCATTCCAAGAGCAAGGAGTAGTTTTATCAAGGTGTGGTATTAACTTTAGTTTAAGTAATACTCCTGTATCTACTGATAGTGAAGCATCCAGTGTTAAGTTTATTTCGTATCTGAAAGTATACATTTATATTCTTACAAGAAGCAACTTTTTTAATAGATATTACTAAGAGATATTGTTATCTAAGACTTGCAATTGAAAATTGACTAAATGATGTCACTTTGAGTTTCTGAATATTGGTAAAATTTGCAGAGATATGTTAATATACCTTTCATCATAGATAGGATCATAGATAGGATGCATATCATATTTACAAGTGTAGTCTGGTGCTATAATTTCCGTACGTTTGTATCTGGTATTTAAAAAATGATTGCCTCTTATTATATACTTTTGTTTATCAATATGAAACCTAAGTGCATAGCATCCTGTGAAGATATAATAGTAGCTCATCGAAATATTATCCTAAAATAATAATTATTATCTGTAGTTTATGATTGCGTACTTGTATTGTATATTTTTATGGAATATCACAAGATCATATGTTACATGTTTCTTATATGTATTAATAATAGATCAATATTGTTTATTCTTACCTTGCATGAGGATATCATGGAGTTATTATTGTATCTTACAAATTGGTTGGAACTATTTGTCATGAAACACAATGATTTCTCTACACTGTGTATATTTGCGGTAATGTCTTCAACTTCTTCAAAATTATACTGTAAACATTCTCTTTCATCTTTGATGGATGGTTCAACCAATAAAGTAACTTTATATTTACATTCTATTGTTGGAGCCTCAAAATTAATCGTAAGATCTTGAACAAAATATAAATTTCATTAGCAGATATAATCAAATGTTTAAGAATATTTTCTGATTTATTATACATATAATGACATACTTGCAAATTCTCCTTTCTCATTTTTATCAGATATTACAGAGAAATTGAACTCAGTAGAAATATCTTTGATAGAACAATATCTAAGAGCTGAAGAATCATAACTAATTACATTGTAATTGTAATTATTTATATTTTCATGGCATTTTTGCTCAAAAGTATACTGGAAAAAACAAGATAATGTATGCATTATTATATTAAAAATATTTTATAATGAAATTTGTTAAATCAATGAATTGTTATAAAATTCTAGATTGTACTTTTGCTTCTTATTGCCATCACTTATCTACTGCCAAATGTAAACATAAACAAATTGCAAAATTGTAACAAGATTACATGTTACATGTTATGCTTGAGATGTCATTTCGCTGAATAACTCACATCGCATTGCTTGTCGTGCACGGTAAATCCATCTGTCCGTATTGCCAAAATAAATAAAAGGAGATAGACACTGTACATTATCCAATCTTGCTTTTGTAAGATACACAGCTATGCCGTGTAGGTCAAGGACGTGCCGAGCCAGGCTTACGAAAAGGACAACATATAAATTATGGAATAATAAACATATTTCGTTTTAACGAAATAGTAACGGTGCTTCTTATTAATAGTTATAAAATCTCTCAAGTACAAAATGAAGATCAGTTTTTCTGCACGTACGGCTGCGCTTTATTAGCCTACAGGTGGAAACCGCGAAATTCGAACGTGAAGCACTTAACGATTCGGTAATCGTCACGTCTCAAAATTTTACAATTTTTTCCGAGAAATTAATTCTCAAAATTCATCAGTTCGACATAATTTCAAACTTTTAACCTATAATCTTTTGATTAATTTCTACCTATATAGTTTCTTCATCAATTTCTTCCTGTTCTCAGCTTTATACAAAGCCACATTCAATTAATCCTCTTGTCGTATGTCGTTCTCCGATAAGCCGAGACAGATATCCAACAAAAGAGATTTGAGATAATGTGCTTTTATATATCGCATCTAACGTTACGAACGTGAAATACATTACCATACTGTCGGAAGTCGATAAATACTACATGCAGTTCGCGTTCATGTTGTACCAGAGCTACCAATTGCGTGCAGAGGGCATCGCAAATGCTAATCATTTGAAATATACAGGAGCTATGGTAGCCCTGATAAGAGTTCAAAAAACGCGCTTATCGTACACATTGTCGGACATCAAGCGAGAAAGTTAGTGTAGTAAATAAATTAATCTACAAAAATGTCGGATATACGCACTCTGGGCAAGCGGTTGGGACAACGTGTTGGCAGAGAGGCGATCGTTCTGGGCAGAATCACAGAGGTGAAGATGTGAAAGATATTGCAAGTTGATCTTGTCAAGTTAGGTTAAGTTACGATAATATCATCGTTATTTCAATCCAGCAAAAATTATCAATATTATTACAACAACAATATAATAAACCGCGTTCAACTTAAAGGCTACATATATATATATATATACATACGGTATAATAATAATTATGTACATGCTCACAATTATATAACCAATATATAATTTACATCATGCAATGTATTTGATGGGATTCACAGAAAAGTGCAAATGGCATAAACATAGAATTGACAACAACGGATAACGCTCTAGTTAATGTGACACTACCTGAACCACTTGATCACAATGCCTCAGGATATATGGAAGTACGTGGTACAGTGAAATCAAAGTCTACTTTATCATGCAAGAGCTTTGTATGCTTCCCTCCTGACATAACAAAAACTTTTGGTGAGTAACTCTTCCAATTGAATTTTCTGATGAATGCATCAATGTATCACTCTTTAAACAATATTTATTTCAGATGAAAATGGATACAATACCATGATGCATACACGCCATGCGATAGGTGATCAGTTGGATGGAATATTCTATGGAGAATAAAACTGACATGTTTAAGATATGTGAAAAGTTACTGTATTCATTTGTATACATTTTTACATTCCGTTAAACATACTAGTATATATGCTTTCTGCAGTGAATAAGAAATAATGCCGTCATGTGGAGAAAATCATCAGAATACAATTCCTTTCTCTGTACATAAAGTATAAGTACACCTGATAAATATACAAATTATCCTAAAGAAGATCCTGAAATAGTAAGATACTTATATATATTATCACTTTTATAAGAAAAAAAATGAAATATCGAAATTTTTCTATCTATGTATACCCACTCTTATTTTGCGGATGTATCCAGCGACAAACAGCGGCAAGTACAGGATGTCACTGGACATTCAGAATGTTGTCTAAAAAGAAAGCAAATTATATAGAAATAATAGGCGCTGCAGACTTTTGTATTATCCTACATCCTTTTTTTATTAATTCGATAATATCTTAATCTGTTATTACAGCGATTTTACATCGAACTCAATTAGTACAAATGTAGTAAATTAATTTCTCACCGAAACCACTGAGTTATGTGCTCGGCGTGTCCCCCATGTTTGCACGTTTGGCACCATGTGAACCAGTTGTTGAATTCTGTGAGCTTGCTATCACAGTCCTCGCTGCGGTTGACGCTGGAGGTGGTCAGTCCGCTGACGGTGCCCATATACATCAAACATATCGCGCAGCGCGGCAAAGGTTTGCGACAATTCGGGCACGCCGACATCTGACGAATAAAAGGGACGACTGAGAAGAAAGGGGACGCGTCCTCTCCTCGTTACACCGAAATAGATTAGCGTGAATCTACCTTCAGTTTGTTAGAGGTGCTGCCCAATCGACCGAACGGAGCTCTCGCTCTGCTCAGACCTTGCATAAAAGCAGCGATGCTCTTACCGCAGAAATTGCAAGAAACATATATCTGCTGCGGTGGAGTCTCGTTCGTCGAGGATCTCATAGCAATGTCGAATTGAGCTCTTTGATTCCACATCTTCCACGCGTCTAAGAGATTCCTATAACTGTAACAGCGGCCGTTAACGCACGCTTAACACTAGTGCCATCGTTCGACGAACACATTCGCAGGAGAAAAAATTGATTAATACTTGGCGATCCACACTTGAACTTGATTCTCCTGGAGCAATTTAGGCGTTAGAGCTCTAATAGCGATTAGACTACAACTCTGAGCGTCCCCGGTGATTTCTAAGTATCTATTTAACAATTGTATGCCCTCCATACTCGCACCTGAAATACAAGGATGCGCTAATAAGTGGCAACTTGGTCACCGGACGAGTCATAAGACGCACCTGTAAGCAAGAAGCCTGCTAGATTGCCCTCTTCGGTTAACTTCTGCGTCAGTCTCCTCAAGTAGTCGTGCAGCTTACTGTCCGATAAGAACATAAGAGCGAACGCTACTCGATCCTCAACAGCCATGCCGCTTTCGTTCTGCAAGCGTAAGTTCACAGAGTTCAATCGAGTCAAACATCCAATAATTTCGTCGCGAAAATGGCTACACACACTCGCATTTTAGTTTTACATACAAGTACGTTCTCGTAGGAATCGTTGTCGGCGGTTAAGAAAGCGAACGTCGCCCTTAAGTAAGGATCCGGCAATTGAGATCTGGACTTCAAACAGGACTCTCGCCACATGCTGTTGCGATCCTCGGAGAATCCAGATAGTGCCATGGCCACGATATCCAGATTCGCAGTCATGGACATCTTAGTGGCGCCGCGGTTCAAGATCTCGATCGCCTGTCTGAGGCAAAGATTGAACACCGCGAGCGCCGCCGCTCTCGCGTACGCGCCTTCTCTCTCCAGGCCCTCCAAATATGTATTGTCGTAGAGACCATTGGTTTCCTTGTCGAATCGCAAACCACACAGGAGAAGACTCTTGTCCCTATCGGCGGATCTGCGTTGGCACCAGTAGAGACACGTTAAGCACAAACGTTTGCATCTTATTTTATTTTTGTATGCGCGTATGTAATCGTCACCTGTAGATCTTTGCTGTATAGTTGGAGCCTATGTCCGTCCATGTGCGGTGGATGAGCTCGGACTTTAAGAAACCGTTCATCGGGTTTTGCTGACCGTCTAATTTCAGAACTGTTCTACGTAAAGTTTGGAGAAATGAAGAGTCATGTGTATGCTTGTATGTACGCATGCTAGCCGCAGCGGGTCGCAATTTTTACCTTATACCGGGATGCTTGTTATCGACGCTGTGGATGGTGCCGTCCTCCACCAGGGCGCCGCTCAGATACAACCATTGCCACAAATGCTTCAGGGTTTCGTTCTCGGCTAGTTCACCGTTTTGGGCTAAATCCGGCTGCAAGTGTGATAAACATGAACAACTCTGCGAGCACCATGATCGAGCGTGTTTAACTCTTACAAGGGAACTGCACGAGGCGTAAGTCATCGATTTGGCTGAATTTTTATAAGTCGGTCAAAAATCGAAAAATACTTGACCCGTATTTGGCCGTTTGTTCAGACACCCGACAGTTTTGAAGTTATTTAATAATAAAGTTTAGGCAGTTAGACACAGCGAGTGAAAGAAAATATATATGTGAAATTTGTCAAAGATCGGTAGAGGTGGTAGAGTAGCCTGGTCATTTGACTATTAAGCTAGCGGTCCGAATTCAATTCTAGCTGCTACAGTGTGGTTTTTCCTTTATTTATATTACTTTAAATTTAATATTAATGTAAGTATATATCGAAAAAACATACATAGAAAATATAATTTTAATTTGAAATATATCCATTATATATGTACATGTTATAGGATCGTTAATAAATGTATTTTAAAGTAAAATTATATTTAAAAAATTCAACCAAATCGATGATTTACACCCCGTGTAATTGCTTTGTTAGGCATTCTCACAAGAAGTCGATCAGATTCTCACGTGCACAGTGATTATTACAAGGATTATAAGGATATCGAAACAAGAGAGTTTAAGATAAATCTTATACACGCATGGAGATAGAATTCGTCAATGTTTCAGATTCGCTAAGAGTGTGTTTCCCTCTGCTCTATTTACTTACAAGTAAGCCGTATTCCGCATTGGCACGCTTCTTGGTTAAAATCGCGATGTCGTCCAGTGTCTTGTACGGATTGTCTTCACTATGTATATACTTCAACGATTTGAAGGCATGATTCCACGTGAGATGCGATCCGGAGGACCAGCTCACCGTTATCCTCTCCCACACGGTGTAATCAGTTATGCCTGTGAAATAACCGCATTCTAGTAAATGTAAACAGCGTCGCGATCAAATATCAGCAATTGTATAGTAGAAATAATGTTAAACCTTGCTGCGATATTGCCAATAATCGATTCACATGAGTCGGATGCCACGAAAAGTTCACAGGAATGTGCCAGGATGGTACAACTGCCCTTTCCAGGACCCCAGGCTCAGTATCCTCCCCTCCACTGTTTTGTATGTCGTACAGATGTAATGCTCCTGCAAAAAGATAATCATTTTTCGTGTTCGTAGCTTACATTATAGCGACACCCGCAATATAAATTACAAGCTTCGTTAAATACATCATCAATTAATTATCTCAAATTATACCTGAATCCTTTTGCAATGCACCGAGAAGATTACGTCTGGTGGGACACCACAGAACTTTTGTTATCTGTCTTAGTTGTACCAAAGTGAGAACAGGTTTATCGAAACATCGGACATCCCACATAATGATTTGATTGTCCACATTTGAAACCAAATGATGAGTGTGATGAGGATTCACTGATACATTGTAAACCGCCTTTGTAGGGGTGACATTTACTACTCTAGCTGAATCTAAAGAAACAAAGTCAAAGATCAGATTACCAATAAATAGCAGATACTATCTTTCATGAACAAACCTCTAAAGTCAAGAATCTTCAGTTGCTTGTTATTAGCACCGAGAACTAGACATTTTGGATCATGTTTAAACCAAGCAGCAGAGTGTATAGTTTCCGATACACCCAATTCCGCTGTTGGTCTGATGCATTCCATTTGATTACTGCCATGATGATGTATTCGTTCCGAACATTGTGGATTTTTGTCTATATCCCACAGCAATACAGAATGATCCTTGCTATGTTTATCCAATCCAGAAAGGATCAGATGTTTGTCTACGGGATTCCAAGCAACCACGTTACATGGTCTTGCATGCTTTGGTACTGGAATTTTACCCAAAATTGCAGATAATACAATATATTACTAAAATAAGTTATTCACGATCAAGTTATTATGTGATTTACCAAATTCTTTTCCAGTGAAACCCAGAGAGTCATATGCTGTAGGACCAAAAGTATTTAGAACTACTTTCCCATTTGCTTGACCAACTGCTAATAAGATATCAGGTTCTTGTTCGGGATATATATCAATACATTTGACATAGTGATTGTTGGTGTTAGTAGCAAGGAGATGAGCAACAGAGTGATCTGAGATCTTTAAACCTGTGAGAGAAAGAAAACGCATGTTAGAAGCATTCCATAAAACATATATCTCAACAGAAACAAGAAGAAACTGTAGATTGTAAAGTAAACGAGTGTTATTTTATTATATACTTACAGGATTGCTCAAAACTATCCTCCAGAGGTACGACTTCATATAGATTAATCTCGGTGCCCCAAGTGATGAATTTATTATGATGAACGGGAGACCACTGTATATCCAATTTAACACTGCCCATTGTTTCTCTTTTTTGTCCCTTTTATAACTGTTTGGAATTGTGCGAGCACCGACATTCCACCTTGCTGTCGAAACAACACGACGCTGTCTCGGCTGTCTCTCCTTGCCTCGTGCCGTCTCACTCGGGTTCGCTACGCCTCGCGCAAGGTACCGCTATCTCTCTCTCTCTCTCTCTCTCTCTCTCTCTCTCTCTCTCTCTCTCTCTCTCTCTCTCTCTCTCTCGTAGTGCGCTGTCTCGTTCGCGCGCGTCACCTCGCATGCTCAGGTTCGCGCGATCGACGCTGAGCGGCGCAGGCTGAGATCCGTATCGCGCGGGAGAGAAGTTAGTTGGAGGTTGTAGTGAAAGAACGAGCGCCTCGAATCTTGTGCTTTCGCATGGCTCAACGCCTATTGTGATAATCTCTTACGTCTAGTCTGTGGGACTTTTGTAGCGCCCGACCTGCTCTAGGCTTTCCTAGTGCAGTTTTGCTTGTAGTCTAGATTCGAACCACCGCACTATATACTCTGCTTGTGAGTTTAAATCAACCTTCACAATTGAGAGGGGGCAAGCACTATTTCGGTAAAAGTCTTGTCTGCCTCCGTGGCGCTTGAATGTGGTTTCCGTAACTCCGCATATTTTTGATTTCAATGATTTTGATTCAACAGTACGGAGACTGCGTACGCGTTGTCCCTGTTTTTCTTTTACTTTCGTAATCGTTGACTGGCGTAAGAGATAGAGTGTAACAGCTCTGCTCAGAGCCATTTATCGAATCAGAACCAGAACCATTTCGGTAAACACTCGTGAAAGGTTAATACGTATACCTGGGAAAAATGTCGGCGCGCTCGAACAAGAAGAACAAGTACAAACTGGTGCACAGACGGCCACGGCAGGTTCTCTGTAAGGAACAGAAATATCATCAAGAGAGGGACAAGTCGGATGACGCGTGTGAGACAGGTTAGACTGATGCACGTGGTTCTCGTCTTGGAATTCAGCATTTTACTACGTCGCTAACATCCTCGTGTATACGACTCGCGAAAAACATATTGCATGCGAGAAAGAGATAGATGTAAATAAAGGAGTCATTCGAGTCATTCAGATGTGTGACTTGTATTCGTTGAATCCACTTGCAGAATCCATGGAGGACGACCCGGTTGTGCCGTCGATTACGTTCCCCGTGGCTATGTGGGACCTGAAGCACTGTGACCGCAAGAAATGCTCCGGCAAGAAATTGATGAGGCATGGCTTGGTAAAGACGTTGAGATTAGGAGCTCGATTTTCAGGCTTAGTACTTACCCCAGTTGGCACCAAGGTAGCTAGTACACAACATGAGGATTTACTCGTTACAGTGCAGAGACAGTTGGTGAAATATTGTTTTGCAGTGTGTGAGTCCGACAGACCGCGAGATCATACAGGAATATGGTTGCGCGGTTGTGGATTGCAGCTGGGCGCGTCTCGATGAGACTCCCTTCAACAGGATGAGAACGCCCAATCCACGTCTACTGCCATTCTTTGTTGCTGCCAATCCTGTGAATTATGGGAAACCTTGTCAACTGAGTTGCGTAGAGGCTATAGCAGCCGCTTTAACCATAACAGGATTTCGAGATGAAGCTGCACTGTTTCTTGGAAAGTTTACATGGGGACATTCGTTTCTAGAGCTGAACAGTGAACTGCTGGAAAGATATGCTCTTTGCAAAAATAGTGAGGAAGTGATTGCGGTACAAGAGAAGTATTTGGAGGAGGCATGGCATGAGAAATCAATTAGACACAGTAAGGATGTTGTGTACTCTCTACTTGGGGCATTTGACACTTTTACTTTAATATCGTTTGTTCCTAGCACTTCCTGATTTTCCACCAAGTGATACTGAGTCTGAAGAAGAAGAAGAGGAGACAAAGAAAGATGAAAATCCGGTGTCAGAAGTGATCAAAGAATTAGACAATACAAAGATATAGAGCATACAATATTGATTAGAGGCACTTGATAAGTACTTGTATATATTTAGACATCTTATATATTTCAAGTGATATTTTGTTAAGCTAGTGCTTATATTACAGATTTGTAATATATTATGATCAAGTAAGGTGAGAAAATTGACTTTTATTCAATTTATATTTCCCTATATATAGCTTGTATGTTCTGCGTACCGTATTATTTCATAAAGTAGAACTACACAATATGTATAAACCTCACGCATAAAGCATATATTTTACATGCTTATAAATAAGGTGAATGTCTCAATTAGTGATAACTACTCCCTTAATAAAACTAATATGGGCCCATATTTGACCCCAAACTTGTGCTCTTATAAATTTCATACACTATCACTTATAACAAATATTGGAGAAAATTAAAAATCATAGTCAATGCAACAATTTGAGCAGTTACTCGCTCAAACCGACATCTTAGAGTTAATGATTGACATCAATTGTCAGATTTGTATAATTATCTATCAACTTTTTCAGAATTAAACTCACAATGGAAAGACAAAATCTAGACTATCGTATCACTAAAGGTCATTCTACAATATGTGTCGTAAGTTGTAAGTCGTAAGAATTGGCGAATCAGTCGATTATTACAAAAATAATCGGTTATAATTGGTCAGTTCTTACGGCTTACAGCTTACAACACCTATTGTAGACCAGGCCTAAATGGTACTTCAATCATTTTTGAGAAGATGTAGATAAATTGAAATCTGTACTAACTTTTACTCAGCTTAAAACGTTCATCAATTTATAAATTTATTCTACTCGGTTACATGCTAATTGCGACATTTACGCATCTCCTTCGCAATCGTCATTTATTATTCGCCCAAGCAGCCCGGAATTGCGCCTCGCGTTTGACAGTTCTGCGATTACCGGCTGAGCGGGGACGCCGGACGTCGACGTTTCGCGAGCATCCACCCCGCGCGCTGCCGTCCGCAGCGGCATCACAGCTGATGCGCGGTGACGTCACTCAAACAAAACCATGCGCTCTCGGGGCGCGAGAGAGCGAGTTGTTCCGCGATCCGAACGCGCAGGCAACACATACTCAGTGGACACGGTGAGGTGTGTGTGTTCCTGCACCTCCGCGGGTGTTGCGAGCTGCCGTCGTTGCGACTTGCCGTAGCCGTCGTCGCCGTCGCGCGCGCGCGCGCGCATCCGTCCTCGTCCTGAGCGACGATCTGCTCCGGCGTGTGTGCGTCTCTCCAGGATGCCGTTCATATCCAAGGACTGGCGCAGCCCAGGCGAGGAATGGGTGAAGACCGTCGAGGGCTGGGAGAAGAAGAAGATTCTCGAGTGCGCCAACAACAAGACCCTCTCGCTTCTCTTGCGGTGAGCTGTTATCTTTTTCCCTCCCTCTCTCTCTCTCTCTCGCTCTCTCGCTCTCTCGTTTCTCTTGTGCCCTCCCCGTCTCGTTCGCTTCGCTGGTCGCGGTTCTTTGTTCGCCGACGACGGCGCGCGTCCGCTCCGCGGCACTTGGACGCGGCGCACAGCTGTTACTCCACGTTTACATCGATCCGACTGACAGCTCTGTTTGTTTACATACACGAGAGCGCGAGCATTCTCTCTCTCTTTCTCTCTCTCTTTCTCGCGCGCGCGATGACTAACCGATTGATCGACTCGCCTTGAGACACGGCGGCGATCAGGTGTGCTGCGTCAAGTCGCCCCCGAGACGACGGCGATTATTATCGCGGCGCATTGTCATTTCGCGACGATCGGGCTCGCGTGCCGACGCGTCCGTCTTGGCGTTTCGCTCGTTCGAGGTACGCACCATGCTTCGAACGGGCGAGAGACAGTGTACTACTCTCTCGAGACGCCGACGCTGCGGTGATAGTGAGCTGATCCGGCTCCGTCGCGAATAACGTGCACGTCCGCAAAAACCTATTCTATAACTCTGATTGATAGTCGAGTAACGATCGAGCGCCGACAGAGAGGACTTCGGCGAATCCTGTAATGTCGTTATGTGCTGGTAACGACAGCTTTCGGTTCGTCATATGTCGTTGCGCATTTTTTCCGCCGTATATTATAATATTTGCGCGACGATTGTGTCGTTATCCTCGCGCTGTCCTGTCGTACAGTCTTTCTACAATGTATCAGTCTCTCTTTTTTCTATCGTATATATCATGTATGATTAAATATCATACATGACATATTAGCTTCTCCATGAAGTATCATACTATTAATTTCTCTACCATACGTTATATCATATATCAGCTTCCCCGCTGTATATTACAATGAAGGCGATAACGATGCACGGTCGTTGCGAGTCGTGGACCAGATGAGACGACGTTCGCCTCTCTCCATCGCCGCTCGATCGTTACTCGGCCATTAATTCGCTCGGAGCGATCGCGTTGTTCGGCCAGTGCGTTCCCGTGCGATTGATGATTTTGAATTACGGGATGGCAAGTCGACGCGGGGTGTCCCTGCGCGTGAACGCGTCGCCGCCGATCGTCCAGCGGCTCCTCGAAGCGGGTGATACCATGTTGTCCGTCGACTCGCCGGCTCGCATGAGACGTAATTCAGGTGGACTCCGAGCTCGCGCGTCACGCATAATAATACCTGTCGCCGCGGTTTGCCCACGTTTACACGCAGTCACGACGTGTCGGACATTGCAACGGTGGAAGCAACGGCAGCTTTTCCCGGAGGACTGCCTCCTCGGTCGCGCTTCTCCTCCTGCGGGGATTGTCGGTTGTCGTTCAAGCCGATAATTAGTCTCTCGTTTGGCGGCGGTCCTCTGTTATTCCTGATTATTTCCGATAGGCGATACGCGACAGCGAATAAACACGAGGCGTCTTCGCGCGAAAATCGGAGAACTCGCTCGACTTTGCTGCTCGACTTTTTCTCCGCCGACTCTGGTGTGTTCGATCCGTCCCGTTCGAGTATTCCGGACACTCCCGGTTCGATTCGATTTTAGCTAATTGCGCGCATTGAGCAACGCCAATTATGCAGCGGCGGTTGAACAGACGCGCCATTTTCGCAGCGGACGAGAGAAGTGTGTTGCGAGTAACTGCGGAGAGAGAGAGAGAGAGAGAGAGAGAAAAAGCTTTTAATAAAGACAGTGGGAAGGACGACAGGTCCCTATTGTGCCGCCCACGCGCGGCTGTCCGGCGATTTTTCACCAGGCTGCCTCGCGATTCTCCAGATTGACGTGATTGAGGGCCGAATTGATCGCCGATGCCGCGGCCTCACGCGGGTGATACCATTTCGACCTGCGTTGGTGCTGCGCACCAGGTCGATGCACAAGCGGCTTCTACGTTTTATTATTACCGAAGCCTTATCTATAGTACGCTCTTTGTCCTTTGTTTCTCTCTCTCTCTCTCTATCTCTCTCTCTCTCTCTCTCTATCTCTTTCGACTCAAGCTGGAGAAAGATAAGGAATGAGAGAAAATAAAGTCACGTCATTTTCATTTTTGTTCCATTTTTACATCCCCGCTCATTTTGCACGAGGTTCCTAAATCAATATTCGCATGTTTTAATTGATGGAGCAACATCACCGCAAGTCTCTATCAGAATTCTATGACCTTCAGCTGCCGTTTGTTTCTGATTAAAAAACAAAAGCAACGCATGTCGATAATGCTCTCTAGGAAGCCCCATTTTTAAGATGATATTATTAACACAATTTTTACTGCGTCTATTGTAGTAGTAAATAACTAAATATCACATTAATATTAAAACATTAAGAAACAATAGCTGTGATTGGAATGTTTTCGACAAAACTGATATTAATGCCATTTCTTGCAAAACTCACATTCCTAATATGTATAGTAAAAAAAGCTAACAATCTCGCTCTTCTAATGTCGACAATCGCGTTTAATGAGATACTGAAGGTAATGCGCTAAGAGAGAGAAAGAGAGAGAGAGAGAGATGTCCAAGCTGATGAAAGCCGATGTCCCTTGGTCGCATCATTCTTGTCATCACATGTATTTATTTTCTGATATAATAATTACTATTATTATTACTATCGTCATCAAGTTTAATTTACATGCGTGCGCGTGTTTTGAACCCGTTACCGGCAAATAGGCGAATTTCCCGTAGTAATCAGCAGTTTTCACGTTGAAAGGCGCGAAAAAGGAAAAATATAAATAAATTGCGACTATGCCCCGTTGAAAGGAGCGTAGCGCGAATAATCCCGCGACGACTGGCTGCGTTTGACATTTCCAATTTGCGATCGCGCAAACCTGTTCCTCCGCGATTAAAGCACAGGTGCAAGAGAGGCCGTTCGCGAAATTAGTGCGAATAATTGACGCCGTCGACCGGTCGACCTGGGCCCGCAGAGATCACGCGCGTCTAAATCGGCTTCAAGTCGCATTCGCATTCAGGCGAAATTTGCACGGGCACAACTGATGCAGCTCGTGCCTTCCGTTAATTCGAGAGAAAATCGTCCTGGAAAACGGCGGCGTCGCGAGTTCAAAGGCGAAGACGGCGAAGGAGAGAGAGAGAGAGAGAGAGAGAGAGAGAGAGAGAGAGAGTCGACTGTTTTCCTTTATTATGAATGCGCGATTGCGCACAACGCCGTTGCGCCGCGCGAGAGAACTTGACGTCGCCGTTGTTGTCGCGCCGTTTCCCAGCGGTTCGATTACCTAAGAATTAATTAGGCGCTAATCAGCCGAGAGACTCGCGAGGTATTAATAGCCGTTGCCTGAAACTGCTCTCTCTTTCTCGCGTGAGAAACTCAGACTGGTGTTTACAATCGCCATACGCCGGCGGAAAAGAGTGATCCGATTATCTTTGTTGTACGTAATATTATTTCACCTTGCACGATTCAACAGTCACGATATTTTCCTTGACAATTTCACGAAAAGTTCGAAATGACGCAGAATGTTCATGAAATGCATTCCGCGTGTACAATTTTCCAGAAAAGGGCAAAGTTTCGCAGCGGTACTTTTCCTCCTTCTCGAGTGGAACGCAAAATTACGATGACATCAAAATGACGAGGAAATGACCGAATCATGATGAAAAAATGAGCGCTCAAGAAATATAAGAAAAATAATTTCAAAACTAGCGGAATCATTTAAATTTTGGAGGATTTTATTCTTATGTTTAGCCTCAAGAGGACTCCTCTAAAATTAAGAGGAAAATATTATAAATACATTATTCTAAAGTTAGAGGAATTATATGTTATATGTATAATGCAAATCTTATTGATTTTAATATAAATTTCCTCTTATACTTATAAAGATTATTTAATCTTTTTTTAAGAGGATTATTATTTATTCTTACTGATTATATGTTCTTTTGTAGGCAAAGGAAAAGAAATTATTATGAAATTCCGAGAAAACTTTTAGTTAAATTTTTTCGACTTTCTGCTGAAAAAGTAGGAAAAAACATAAATTTGTAATTTTAAATATTTTAAATAGCATTTAATGTAGTATGCAGCGCGATAAATGGAGATATATACTTACGCTGAAATATGGGCCAGTATGTCTTAAGTTGATTTTCTCCAAAAATTCTTAAACTTCGTTCATGAACGAAACAACCGAGAAAAACAACACAAACTGAATAACGATCCCTCTTCTCTGCTGTAGACGTTGTTCATAAAATAAAGGTGGCGACGATCGTCATATGCATAGAGAGAGAGTGTCTCTATGTGAGTAGATGGAGGAGAAAAACGCCGACAAGCGTAACTCTTGATGTAAGAGGAAAATTAATTGTTATAAGAGGAAATCCTCTTGAAGTAAGAAGAAAACAGAGTAATATTTAATAAATTTTAAAAATTAGATGAGTGGTTCATTTTCGACCGAAGAATCGCTTTATCGAAAGAGGAATCCTTTTCCTATAAAGGCTAAAAGGCTTCGCTTAGAATATGAGACTATGGGAAAAATCACTTTACAAGTAGAATACTTTTTTTTTTAATGAATTTCCCTCATCATTTCGACATGTCATCATGATTTTCTGTTCTGCCTGAGTCTCGGCGCAGATGCGTGAACGTTCCTTCCACTCTTCCACCTCGCAATTTCGCGGACGTCCGCAAGGATCACGTGTATCACGTGTGACTCCACCGAAAGATCCAGGTCTGACCCTGAATCCAGATCCGAGGAGGCTCGCGTGGGACGGAAGTCCCGAGCGACGACCGATCTATCGCGGGACTTTCTTTTGGCGGACTCGCACCGGAAACGCGATCGGATGGACGGACGGGACGACGCGCGTCCTCGGCACGACCGTCGTCGCGGGTCGCGCATTGCGATTTCTTTGACCGGATATTGAGCCCATTGTGCTCGTTGCACCAGTTGTGTTTGTGGCCGTGACAGACTTAGATAATTAGACTCGCAGCGCTCGCGCTTGCAGCACCGCGCGTTGTCGCTGAGGAATATGAGAGAGAGAGAGAGAGAGAG